AGGTCAACCAAAGGCCTGGTTAAAAAGGAACATTTTTGCCTGACGCCTAAAGGTGCATAATGAAGGTGACAGGTGAACTTCCTTGGGGAGAGCAGTCCAAAGATGGGGAGCCACTGCAGAGAAGGCCCTGTTCTCGTGTTGCCACCCTCTGGACCTCTTGAGGAGGCACATGAAGGAGCGCCTCAGAAGGTAATCTCAGGGTCCGAGTAGGTTCATATGGAAAGAGGCGGTCCTTGAGGTATTGCGGTCCTGAGCTGTTTAAGGCTTTATAGGTGAAAACCAGCACTTTGAATTGGGCCCGGAAACTAATTGTTAGCCAGTGCAGTCAGACCAGGATCGGTGTAATATGCTAAAACTGTCTTGTTCCAGTGAGCAACCTGGCCGCTGAATTCTGCACTAGCTGAATTTCCAAACCATCTTCAGAGGCCATACTAAAACAACGAGAAGAAAAAATCCCTTCTGCTCAACTTGTAAAGTTGTACAAATCCACTTAGGATCTGGAGTTGACAATCCTGCTCCTTGGTTTTTTCTAAGTGCTAGAATTCATTGGCTTTCGCTGCTACCTTTGGCTCAGAATCCAGCAAAGCAGTGTCCTTGAGAAAATACTTGAATCCCTCCCCATGCATTCAGTTCCTCACCCTTGCCCTAAGACCCCAGACACCTACACAATCTTTGAAGACTTTTCGTCTAGCACCGCCAACTTTGTTGTTGGTCTCCGCCCCTGAAATATACTCAGAGTCGAGAGTGGATTTCATGCTCTTTATTCAGCTCATAGTGGTGAGGAGGAATGAATGTCCCCTCAAAGTATCTGCTTTATATACATTATTTACACAATGGGCTGCACGTGATTGGCTAATTCCGGAATTCTCCTGTAGGCCAATCAGGTTGTGGATTCACTTCCATCTGGAGCCGGATTGGGTGGCTCCTGCAGACCAATCATATTGCTGCATTGTTCTAGGACCAATCAGACTGCTGCGTTCTGAATCCTATTGTTCTAGGACCAATAGGCTGCTGCATTTTGGATCCTATTGTTCTAGGACCAATCAGACTGCTGCCTTTTGGATCCTATTCAACTCAGTACATAACAGCCCCTGTGCTTTTAACAGCAGTGGGTTCTGCAGATATTGGCAGAGGCTGGCGCATATTCACACCACGTGGTGCTCTCAAGTGCCCCATCTCAGCAGGACGACCAGGAGGGAGCCCCTCCAAACACAACACCACATTTTGATGTAAGTGAAGCACTACATCTTGCCAGCCAAAGAATGGCCCCTCTATAAGACTGTTGTCTCCCTCGTCTAAAATTACCCAACTTTGCTTGTCATTAAAAAAGTGACTTGGGTTGATTACTGCAGAGAATGCCGTTGTTGAAAGAGCAAGAGCACATTGGGCTGTTATATGCTTTTCCTCCTCCTCCCTGGGAGGTTCCCTGGAATGGTGTGACCTGGCAATCTTATCAGCAAACCCAAAGCAAAATGAGCTGGGGTGAGAGGGTGCGCAGAGCTCAGACTGTCCCCCAAGACCTACTAGGCATTTACAAGGCTAAAATACTACCTATTCCTTGCTGGCTACACCAGTTACCAGGGTGATTCTGTGCCATATTTTAATAATAATAATAATAATAATAATAATAATAATAATAATAATAATAAATTTTATTTATACCTCAGCTAAGGCTGGGCTCAGGGCAGCTAACAACCAATAATAAAAACAAGTTGAATGAATACAACTTAAAAACAAGATCAAAATACAACATCAAAACATTAAAACATTAAAATGCAGCCTCATCACAGGAGGAGAAAGGAAAAAAGAAAGAGGGGGAAGGAATCAAATTGACTCCAAGCCAAAGGCCAGGCAGAACAACTCTGTCTTACAGGCCCTGCGGAAAGAAATCAGAACCTGCAGGGCCCTGGTCTCATGAGGCAGAGCGTTCCACCAGGCTGGAGCCAGTGTTGAAAAGGCACTGGCTCTGGTTGAGGCTAATCTAACTTCCTTAGGGCCCGGGACCACTAGGGTGTTGCTATTTATGGACCTTAAGGTCCTCCGTGGAGCATACTGGGAGAGGCGGGCCTGTAGGTACGAGGGTCCTAGGCCGTGAAGGGCTTTAAAGGTCAAAACCAGTACCTTAAATCTGACCCTGTACTCCACCGGGAGCCAGTGCAGCTTGAAAAGCACTGGGTGAATATGCTCCCATGGCAGAGACCCCGTGAGGAGCCTCGCTGCAGCATTCTGCACCTGCTGGAGTTTCTGGGACAGCTTCAAGGGCAGCCCCGCGTAGAGCGAATTACAGTAGTCAACCCTGGAGGTGATCGTCGCATGAATCACTGTGGCCAGGTCGGGGCGGGAAAGGTAAGGGACCAACTGCTTGATGCGGCGAAGGTGGAAAAATGTTGCCTTAAAGAGTTGGTGATCATCTTTAAAGCCTAAACATTAGCAGGTTAGCTGAAGAACAACCTACATCAGGTGTGGAGAACCTCTGGCACTCCAAATGTTGCTGAACTATAATTCCTATCACCCCTGGCCAATAGCCATGCTTGCTGGGAGTTGTAGCTCAGCAGTATCTGGAGCAGTGGCAGAGCTTTAAAATGTCAGTGGCACCCTGCGCCCTGCCAAAATTTGATTCCCCCCCACCCATAGTTCATCATTGTTGTGGCACCCTCTTGGCTCAGCGCCCAGTGTGGGCAAACTGGTTGTGCTCCCCTAAATCTGCCTCTGAGAGTCAAAGGTTCCCCACACCTAGTTTAAAGCTATACAAAAGTGCCCAGGCTCCGACATTGGCCACAGAAGCCTTGCTTGCACGCCTATCGATAAGCTCCACCAGACAGGCTAGTCTAAGAAACAGGGCCTTTTCAGTGGTAGCCCCATCACTGTGCAACTCTTTCCAACAAGACATGCATCTAGCTCCCTTGCTGGTCCTGTTCCAACAGGTCTTAAAGACTTTGCCACTTTAATTTGCTTTAACTGGATAGAGTTGGTGGTCTGTAATTGCTGCTCCTGATATCTATGGTGTGCGGGTATTTTTGGATGGATTAATTGCTTTATATCTTACGTTTTATAATCTCTCTTTATATCTTATGTATAATCTCTCTAAAAAAAAAAAAAAATCAGTCCAGCTGCTTAACAAAGAGGAGATATAATCTAACCTCCTGTTCATGCAAATCAGGATGAATGCTGAATAAACAGGTTGTGTGGAGGAGCCCGAGAGGGCATCAATAGCAGCAGGGAGATTTAGGGAAGTGGGCTGGTGGTAGTGCGATAAAAAGATAATACTGATCAATACATGATTTGTGTCTGTATTTTCAATATACAAATATATAAACATTGGACAAATTACACATTTAAAACACTGGCATCTTTGGCTCATCTCAAGTTATCTTTGGGACAAAAAACTTGAATGACATCGGGAAAAAGGCACAAGAGAAGATACAAATATATTAGTGTTCAAATTCCACATTTTACACAGTGGCATCTTGGGCTCACCTCAAGTCCAAACGGAGTGTATGGGCCATAAAATGGCAAATGCAATTCAGTTTAAAGAAGTGTAAAGTGCATCAGATTGCTGGGACTAATAATAACAACAACAACAACAACAACAACAACAACAATAATAATAATAATAATAATAATAATAATTGCTTTAAGAAAAATTGTGCTGGCACTCATCATGAAGTTGTTACAGTAAGTACCACAGGTGTCAGTACTGCGTCCTCTTGAGTACCCCCAGGAAAAAAAGCACTGATAATAACAACAATTTCACATTAAGGCACATGGGGTCTGAACAGGCAATGCCTAGCAGAGTCATCAACTGTTTAGATATGACCAGTCCTTGAAACACAATTTTCCTAATGGTGAAGGAAAGAAGAAGAAAACCTGGCATGGAGTTGGCTGTGCAAACTCAAGCAAGGTCTTACTGTGACCCTCCTGATGTTGTTGGGGCTCCAGCTCCCATCAACCCTGACCATTGGCCATGCTGCCCGAGGCTGATGGGACTTGAAGTCCAGCAACACCTGTGAGGCCACTTGTTCCCCAACCCAGTTTTTTTGTTTCCTCTCCAAGAGCTAAGGCACACGTAATGGTCAGTCAAATCATGTGTTACCACCTGCTGGAGCCAGTGTGGTGTAGTGGTTAAGAGCAGTGGATTCGTAATCTGGTGAACCGGGTTCGCTTCCCCGCTCCTCCACATGCAGCTGCTGGGTGACCTTGGACTAGTCACACTTCTCTGAAGTCTCTCAGCCTCACTCACCTCACAGAGTGTTTGTTGTGGGGGAGGAAGGGAAAGGAGAATGTTAGCCGCTTTGAGACTCCTTGTTACCTGCCAAGCTTGGGGAACAGTGCTGGCTAAACTGCAGAGCTGGAACAGCCAACAGGAAGATCTCATTGAACCTCACGCTCCAAGGCAGATGATTAAACTAGCAGCGACTCCACTGCTGCTAAGGTAGCTAGGTTCTCATGATGTGGCTGTGGTGGCTGCTACTGCAGACCCTTGACGTGTCCCTATTTTCCAGGGACAGTCCCAGATTTGCAGAAGATGTCCCAGTTTCTGATTTGATCCTACAATGTCCCAGTGTGGTGTAGTGGTTAAGAGTGGTAGTCTTGTAATCTGGGGAACTGGGTTCGCGTCTCCGCTCGTCCACGTGCAGCTGCTGTGCTTGGGCTAGTCACACTTCTCTGAAGTCTCTCAGCCTCACTCACCTCACAGAGTGTTTGTTGTTGGGGAGGAAGGGAAAGGAGAATGTTAGCCGCTTTGAGACTCCTTCGGGTAGTGATAAAGCGGGATATCAAATCCAAACTCTTCTTCTTCTCTTCTTCTGCTGGGGAGGCATGTTTGATTAAAGATACACCAGAGGTCAAGGGTTTAAAATACTCTCTCACCCACCCAACGAGGGCTTCAGCTGCACGTTGTAAATACAGTAAAGGAAAAGCTAGCTTTACTGAGTCATGTACTTTTGACCCAAAATACAGACCGTCGGAGCAGAAGAGATTTAGAAGAGGAGAGGCGCTTCTCACATATCCACAGCTACAGGTGTCTTCACTTCCTTGTAGCGAATCAGGAAATAGGGGTAGCACTGGCAGCTTCTGAAGATGACAAAAATGTGTGGGTCACGGACACAATCTGTGCAGGAGTCAAAATGGGGGGGAGTTTGCCTTAAACATGAGTGGCCTCTCCACCAGCGACCAGTCAGCACTTTGGCCAGGAACATGTGACGCACATTGTTCTTGGCTGCTAAGGCGTAGGTGTTTGAGTAGGAGGCATCCCTAGCAAAGTAAACACCCCGGCCAAAAACTGCACCATGGACTGATCCTGCCAGGTCGGGGTTAAAGTTGCCTATGCAAATAGACTTGATCCGAGATGCCGCTGTGCCGTGAAAGAGATGTCTCTCCACTGAGGGATGCTCCTTTTTTGAGCGTACCTGGAACATGAGCCTCTTCTGGCTGATGGGAAAGAGAGAGAAAAAGAAAAGTGGATCATTTTATTTTATTTTAATTTAATTATTTATTAATAAAAATGGTCTATACACCGCGGTGTCATAAAAATATATCACAGTGGAATGGATGCCAGGCTAAGACCAGTCAGTCCCAATGGAAGGAAGAAGCGTCGGCCAAAGAAGATAAAGAAGAAGATTGGCAAAATAAATTATTGAACTATGCAGGGCAAATTATTACAAAAAAGTAAGGTTACCAGACGTCCCTGTTTCCTGGGGACAGTCCCTGGATTTACAAATCAGTCCCCATACAAAATCCATTGAAGTTGAAAAGTGTCCCCGGATTTACTGAAATTTTTTTGGTAACCTTACAAAAAAGGGCAACTGTTTAATGCATATTTTTAAAGCTCTGTGTATAGTTTTTTACATTAGTATACTATTCAACTCAGTACATAACAGTATAACTTTTAAAAGTCACTTGTAATAAGATGAAGAAGGTTTTAAAATTGGATTGTTAAGTATATAAGGTTTAATGGACATACATGAATAAGTATATTATAATGGGACCAAGAGGAGGAGTGGAGGGAAGTCGACCAAATTATGATTAGAAATTTTTCTAGGCCCCTTTCCCTGGCGAGTATTAACCGCTTTCAGTTTTAACCTGAGGACTGTCATTTGTCCAGTTTTAACTTTAATTTTAATTTATTTTAATTTTTGGGATTTTAAATTTTGGGATGCATTTTAATCGATGGATTGCTTGTTTTTATGCATATTGTTTTATTTATATGATGTTAACCGCTCTGAACCTGGCTCCAGCCGGGGAGGGCAGGGTACAAATTTATTATTATTATTATTATTATTATTATTATTATTATTCATGACCAAGTGTTGAGGGAGGGGGCTCAGAGACTTTGTGGGTTCCAAGGGAAGATTTTAAGGGGACCATTGTACCATATTAGCAACTCCTGCTATATGAGGCAAACCAAACCCAATGGCTAGCACTAGGAAAGCATTACCGTATGTCGTGTGTATACTAGGCTTCTCACCTCATGTACATATCCCAGAGTTGGTCATTGCGTATGCGGTAGATAGCCAGCACCAACGCCTGATCCTCGGGCAACTTGGCATGGAACAGCTTCCTCACCATCTGATGGGCTACTTCTGACAGAGTCACTTCTGCCATTGTGAAAGAAGAGCCCCCTTGAGGTGGCGGGACGCAGGCCGCAGGATAAGGCCCACAGAACAAATCCAAAGGATCTTCTCCTGCGAGAGCCAAAGTGGTCAGGGGTGGAGCAAGCGACCTGGAAGGGAAAAAGGACAAAGGAACAGGATCAGCTGCCTCTGGTTCTGCCTTGTTTGCAGGCAGACCCCTATATTTTAATAGAGGGTTGGGAGAGAGAGAGAGGGGGGGAGACTGTGCAAACTTATTATTGACCAGCTGATCTCACTCACACAAACACTCTCTCATTCAGCGTCATGAATTGCACTAACTCAGTGGTTCCTTGTCACCCACACAGAGGGCCTGTGGCAGCATTCACGTAACAAAAACTACCATGGAGATACCAGAATTTTCATAAGGAGGGAGTCTATGGCTTGGTTTTTGGAAAACAACGGGTCCATAGTATTTAGCTAACTGGGAACCTCTAACCTCTGCACTGATTAAGTCACCCCAAACATTTGATCAGTTTTTAAGCAATGAACTGGGGAACTTCCTCAGGGGTCAAGAAATCTTGGCCGTGTGCATCTCTCTCACCTCTGCCCATTCTCTCTCCCAGTTTGCCACTCGCTTAGCGTTTTCCTACACCAACGCCCTCTTCCGACCGCTTATCTAGCTCCACCAAGCCTTCTATCTCCCTCAGCCCCTCCCTACCCTCTGGCTGCCCCACTCCTCCTGCAACATTAGGGCCACTCAACCAATCACGGCTGGTGGCTTCACCAGCATCACAAAGCTCCTTAGCATATTATAGGTCAAATGTATGTATTATCTACTTTTAATGTCGTGTGACTTATCCAATGCATGGCTGCACTCCAAAATCTAGACATGCATCCCACACCAATCTTCCGTTTGTCCAGACCATGGCAATTCATGAGTGTGGGTCTTACATACTAGTGAGACTGTGCAGTCTAAAATCAGGACAACCCTCCTCCAAACAATACACACTTTAAAACATTGGTGAGGAACCTTTTTCAAGCCAAAGGCCCATATTCCCTCTTAAAAGACCTTCTGGGGGCCGCACAGTGGTGGACAGGGTCAGAGGCAAAATTGAGCAGAGCAACAGTTGTGGCTCTTACTATTGTACTGGGAGCTACATTCCAGCTATGCAGAAGTCAGGTTTACACACACAAACACAGATACCCCTCTCCAGCCAGGCAAGCAAGAAGCATGATCACATGATCGCACTTCAAGGACACATTCCAGCCAAGCAAAACACAGAGGAGGCCTGCTGAGGAGCACAGCTTAGGAAGAGTTTCAAAGCCTAGTCAGAGAAGCTTAGAAGGCTGCATTCAGCTCCTGGGCCCAAGGTTCTCCACTCCTGTTTTTAAAAAGTAAAATGTAAAGGACCCTTGGTCAAAGGCAACTATGGGGTTGCGGCGCTCATCTTGAGGGAACCGGCGTTTGTCCACAGACAGCTTTCCAGGTCATGGGGTCAGGATGACTAAACCTCTTCTGGCACAACGAAACACCATGACGGAAGCCAGAGAGCATGGAAACACCATTTACCTTCCCGCCGGAAAGGTACCTATTTATCTACTTGCACTGGCACGTTTTCGAACCACTAGGTTGGCAGGAGCTGGGACAGAGCAATGGGAGCTCACCCTGCCGCAGGGATTCGAACCACCGACCTTCTCATCGGCAAGCCCAAGAGGCTCAGTGGTTTAGACCACAGCACTACCCGCATCCCCTTTAAAAAGGTACCTGTAACTCAGTACATGTAACTCAGTGTCGGAACTCACGACGACTGCCTCCCTTGTTCTCTTATAATGGCAATGGCGCCCACCTGAAAGGTACTGGAACTGAGTTCCGGTGAGTTTGGGCTGAAAAAAATGCCCTGTCTGTACTAAGTTCCTACTACTATACCATTTTCTTAAATTTCTTCAGGGGTTAAGTTTTTTTTTTTAAAAAAAAAAAAGATACAATCAGAACTCTAAGTTCTTCACTAATTAACTTGCACATTGGCAACATCGTTACACAAAAATATACAGTACAGTGTTCTGCAATTCATGGGCATAAGGATTAGACATGTGCTCTCGGGTCCAGAAACTCTGAGGAGGAAGATCTGGGTCCAAACTCACCGCAAGCAGCGCACGGTAATGTCAGCTGAGCGCCAGACGGGTCGGAACGTGATGTCACGGGTGAAGCCCATCTTTACGTTGCGCTGGATAAACTGTTTGAGGTCTACATTGTAGATTTGATCTTGCACACGGAAGGCATGGTTCCACATGCCCCGCTCGAAAGCAGCGACGAGTTCCTGTGCGATAGGCTATGGAGAGAAAACACCAGAATTCCTCCCATCCTCTAGAACAGGTGTTTTTTCAAACTTTCTATGCTCGGGGCCCACCTGAGGCCCACCAGACACAAAATCGTGGCACAGAGGAAAAGCCCGTCACAGAATGGCGACAGGTAGATGCAGAGTTTTGAATAATCAGCTGGCAATTACTAACTTCACTTTCTGTGGAAGCCCTACACAAATCCAGAGCGCAGTTCCTAAGACCTTCTTTCCGGCAACTCCCGCAGTCAAGCTGGTGCCAAACGTCTTGCTCTGCTTTCACAGTATCAGCGAGGCCAAGAGAGAAGGGGCTTGTCATCAAGGCAGCCCAGGACTTCCACACACACTAGCCAGTCTTGAGCCTTGAGGATGTCTCTTCTGTGTTGCTAACCTAGCGGTTTGACTTCACCCTCCATTGTCTCTTGAGACAGACGGATGAAAACAACAACAATTTTTTTGGGAATTGCGAAGTTCTTTTGCCACAGCATTTTCCTTGCAGCAAGGAGTTCCCTCGCTTGGCTTTCCTCAAACCAAATTCAGACATTTGCTCTGGAGGCAAATGTGAATCAGCCTCCCTTTTACAGGTGGAATTTGCTGATCCAGAGAAGCTCTAATTGGAGAAGACTTTTTTTCTTTTATATTTCCCCCCTTCTCATCCCTACATGCCTCTCAATGTACCGTATTTTTCGCTGTATAAGATGCACCAGACCATAAGACGCACCTAGTTTTTGGAGGAGGAAAACAAGGGGAAAAAAATTCTGAATCTCAGAAGCCAGAACAACAAGAGGGATCGCTGCTCAGCGAAAGCAACGATCCCTCTTGCTGTTCTGGCTTCTGGGATAGCTGCGCAGCCTGCATTCGCTCCATAAGACGCACACACATTTCCGCTTACTGTTTAGGAGGGGAAAAGTGAGTCTTATAGAGCAAAAAATACGGTATTTTCGCCCATCTCCTGTAATGTCTTCTCCCATTCTCCTCTCACAAACAACTTGTACCTTATCCACAGACCTTTCTGTTGGTTTCTTTCATCCCTCCTCCCTGCTCCTTTCAGTCACTTCTTCCTCCTAGACAGCTTTCCTCTCTTATTCCTTTCTCTTTCCAATTAATGTAATAATAATAAATATTAACCTTTTATCTCATTTTGCAATTTCTTTCGATACCTCCTCTGGCTCTTTTCCCCTCGGGAGAGGGAACTCTTCAGAAATGCTCTGTCTCCGGGCCACTTTTACTCAGTTGCCGGTGCTGACGTTGGCCCAACCAAAATGTTATGACACAGCTAGGGGACAAGGCGGGTTGTGCACTGAGGCCCACCTGAAAGCGGTCCAAGGTCACCCTGCCCTGACCCACCATTTGAGAAACACTATCCAGGCACACCAGACCACACCCAAAGGTTCTTATTAGCATGACTATGCTGGACCCTGAGACCAACTCTTGGGGTTTTCTCACATCACATTAATGCAATGCACACAATTAAAGGTAAAGGGACCCCTGACCATTAGGTCCAGTCGTGACCGACTCTAGGGTTGCGGCGCTCATCTCGCTTTATTGGCCGAGGGAGCCAGCATACAGCTTCCAGGTCATGTGGCCAGCATGACTAAGCCGCTTCTGGCGAACCAGAGCAGCGCACGGAAACGCCGTTTACCTTCCCTCCAGAGTGGTACCTATTTATCTACTTGCATTTTGTCGTGCTTTCGAACAGCTAGGTTGGCAGGAGCAGGGACCGAGCAACAGGAGCTCACCCCATCGCGGGGATTCAAACCGCTGACCTTCTGATCGGCAAGCCCTAGGCTCTGTGGTTTAACCCACAGTGCCACCCGCGCCCCATGCACACAATTACTGTAAGGAAAATCATAGGAAAGCCCTTTATGAAACACACCTGCCCAACTTGTTGACTATCCTCCCAGCTAGGCACAATACAGTGGAGCTTGCATAGCGCTATTTGAAGCCATCATTTTGAAAATGATTTTTCTAGGTTTGTCATGAAATTGCACAGTAATTGAAGTACCCCAAATCTGGCTGATTTCAACAGGACTTAAGTGTGCCTGTTTCCCTCCCAGTTAATTTTAGAGGGTGATAGAAGGAAACCAAACAATGAGATGGCTCCATAATCAATTTTTTTTTTTTAAATCTCTGGATCCTCTTACCTCATCGTATTCCAGCCAATGGTCACTTTCATTGTAGTAAACCTTCCACTCTGTAAAGAGGTAGGGACTGCAATCAGGGCTGCTGCTGTTGGACAGTCGCCTTACTTGGTCATACAGCAGTATCGGTGAGAGAGCCATGGTGTTAAAGTTTAAGAAATACACGTTGCCCTTCCTGCAAGGGAAGGAAGGTAACCATCACCAGAGGGCGAGGATCTACGGTTGCCATCTGACAGGAAGGGAATGCCTGGCTTTGCTCTTTCGCCTTTAACTTGATTTACTGAAAACAGCTGGTGAAGCTTTTCACCGCATGGGTAATGGTATTTTTTTATATAAGTATCTTCATCTAGTTTTAAAAAACAACACCTTCATATCAAACTGCTGTAAAAGCTAGTAGAAGAGTTGCTAAAAAGTTATTAACCCTTATTCACAAGCTCAATCAGAGCTCCACTTCTAACTTAGAAAATACTCACCTAAATATACATTCCCGTTGATGATTCTTAGCAAGTGTGAATTCTGTGGTATGAGATAATGCCACGGTACTGTGCCCTACACACTGTCTTCAGTCACGCTGACGGATGCCAACAAGTCTTCACTATAGTACATGTGCAACATGTTCCTTGCCTTGGTGTAGCTTCACCTCCTTGCTGAAACCTAGTATTCTGTACCACACACTCAATGACAGCAAAGTTGTCTACTGGGATCTTTCCTATTTCTTCTGTGATCTGTCCATGCAAGACCCATACACTGCAGATGTCCCTACCTTTTCGATGCATATTATAAAGTCAACAGCTTTGGGGGCTATACATAGTTATCTGGCTCTGACCGTACCAAAAAAGAAAAGGAAAAGAAAAAAGCTCCTCCTATCTGGTCCAGTTGTCTATATTTCCATAGGAGAGGCATTTCTCATGCCAGTCTGTTTGGAAGCTGTCCCACACTTAATGCCATGTGCTGCCTCTTGAACCTTTATGACTGATTCACACTGGCACTACAGTACTAATACACCAGATGAGATTAAACAAGGTTATTACAACAAAATACAAATAAAAAACGGCAGTTGAAGGCAGAATCAAAACACACAATTGAGAGCTAAATGTTCTGTAAAGGGCCTGGAGAAATACTGTAAACGGTCTTTAGCTTACAGAAAAAAATCTAGAAATTCTGCATCAGGTGAACCTCCCTAGAGACAGGATGTCACTATTAGTGCCACTAGGGAAGCGTGCACATTATATCTCTGAAGCACATTCAAAGCTCAACCTTTTCTGCAAAGAATTCTGGGCGCTGTAGTTTACCAGTCAGAGAGTTACAATTCCCAACAGCCTTTAAAAAACTACAGCACCCAGAGTTCTCTGAGAGGGGAGATGTGCTTCAAAAGTGTAGTGGCACCCTCTCTACCTACCGTATCTAGGTGCACCCGAAAAACAGACTCTGATGTAATGGCAGGCGGATATGGAGGTAAGTGATCCTTCAGGGATTCTGGACGGCTAAACATCCATACAACTCTAAATTGTGTCCAGCTAAACATCCATACAAGCCTAAATTGTGTCCAGAAGGCAAGAAATGGTAGTGACAGGCAACTTTCCTTTTTCAAGAAACCACTGAAAAGTGTTTGAAGTGCTGTTTCCCTGGAACACACTTTGAAAACCCCCGAGACACCTAAATTTTACAAGTACAGTGGTACCTCAGGTTACATACGCTGCAGGTTACATACGCTTCAGTTTACAGACTCCGCTAACCCAGAAATAGTGCTTCAGGTTAAGAACTTTGCTTCAGGATGAGAACAGAAATCGTGCAGCAGCAGCGGGAGGCCCCATTAGCTAAAGTGGTGCTTCAGGTTAAGAACAGTTTCAGTTTAAGAACAGACCTCCAGAACGAATTAGGTACTTAACCCGAGGTACCACTGTATGGATGTCAGGATTTCAACCAGCCCTTACCATAATCCCTGCCCCATAATGACAGATGTGAAGGAAACAAGGCTGATTTCTTAGTGAGCCCTGAAGGACAGGCATTCCCTTTTATCAGTTGCTTCACAAGTTCTGGGGCAGAACCCAGGGATCGCAAGTACGTTCTGGAGTTGAACCTGGCTCTGGGGCTCTTTCCGACCGAAAGCTGAAAGGAGAAAGATGTTATGGTCCTTACCTATCCCTCAGTTGCACCGTGGGGACTTCCTGATTACAGTAGAGCTTCTCCAGATGATGCTGAGCTGAGAAACTGAAACTAAGCCACACTTTGTCTTTCTGGCGGCGCCACTGCCAGTGGTAGGGGAACGGGGTGTGATGGCAAGGGCACTTCTCCTGCAAATAGCAGCATCCCAGCAGAAAGTTGTCGCAGATCGGCACGCCGTTCTTCTGATGGACGTGATATAGCGGGGCGTCGTCTGCGCCAGATAGCTTCAGGATTGTAATGCCCAGCAATTCATCTTTCAAGAAGGTGATGCCCCGCTCAGACACAGAGGACTCTGCACTTTCTGCCATCTGGGTTCAATCGAACTGCAGGATCCAAAGTGCACACAGGCTAACGCCAGGCAGGCCCCCAGGAGAAGGGTCTTGCTTCTATCTCTAACATAAAAGATAAAATATCTCGTCGCCGCTCATTGTACGTACCAATCCCGTTTTCTTAAAACCAGGCAAATCCAGTGACCTAACAAAACATGCCTGCACTCTGGAAGTAAGTTTTACTTTCACTTTCTCATTCAGTTGCTTGAAAGCAGCTTCCAAGCAAGGCGCTTCGAGACACTACTGGTTTACTCTCTCTGCTGTTTCTGTGCACGGCACACAGAAACTTAGCAGGTGAGGCTTAAAAAAAGAGAGAGAGAGAGAGAGAGAGAGAGAGATGGCGTTAATAATATAATCACCATTATCATCAGTTCCCTCATTCATGCTCAGCCCACTCACCTCAGAGAGTGTTTGTTGTGGGGGAGGAAGGGAAAGAAGAATGTTAGCCGCTTTGAGACTCCTTCGGGTAGTGATAAAGTGGGATATCAAATCCAAACTCTTCTTCTTCATGTCACTGCAAATTGTATGGGGTGGGAATCCAATGTAGGATTCGGATTTTATGGGCTTGTCCATATTTGAGCATTATTTAGCTGTTAATCCACTCCCCAACCCCATATTCAAATTAGACCAGAGTAATCCACTCTGACACATATTTGAATTTGGATATGAGGAGCAAGCCAGGTCTTTCCTGTTCCTATCAGTAGGTGTCTCCACTTTTTTTGTCCCTGTTCATTTTATTATATCAATAAAGTCCTGTATGCAGATAGCTGTGCGGGTATGTTGATTTTTTCCCCCGTCCAAGAAGTGTGCCAAAGTACACAGTCAGACAATTGTAAATATGCTTGTACAGTCGTACCTTGGAGGTCGAACGGAATCCGTTCCAGAAGTCTGTTTCGACTTCCAAAGCATTTGGAAACCAAAGCACGGCTTTCGGGATTCAAGGTATGACTATGTTTTTTTGGGGTGAGTGCAAACCAGAGGGATCAAAAGAAAACATTTTATAAAAGGCTAAGCTCCTGAGTAGCATGTTGGGCGGGGGGGGATGAAAGCAATTGTAAATTCTCAGTACAGCGGTACCTCGGGTTAAGTACTTAATTTGTTCCGGAGGTCCATTCTTAACCTGAAACTGTTCTTAACCTGAAGCACCACTTTAGCTAATGGGGCCTCCTGCTGCTGCCGCGCCGTCGGAGCACGATTTCTGTTCTCATCCTGAAGCAAAGTTCTTAACCCGAGGTACTATTTCTGGGTTAGCGGAGTCTGTAACCTGAAGCGTATGTAACCTGAAGCGTCTGTAACCCGAGGTACCACTGTACAAATTTGGTGTATAAAGTTTTTGGTGTTTTCCAAGACGTTGTGTGTTGACTGAGCATCTTCAGTCCTCGATGAGCTCTCTCTCTCTCTCTCTGGTGTGTGTGTGTGTGTGTGTGTGTGTGTGTGAAGTGCACAGGAGCAAGAGCCCATCCACTTCCCCCATGTGCTATGGAAGAATGACTCCACAGCAGAGGAGCAGGTATGAGATCATCATTCCCCCAATTTCATGCTGGGGCCCTTTAGCACCAAGAGATTCATTCACCATAATCAGCTGGCATTTTGAGAGTTGTTCCACACAGCAGTATAATACAGTGCCATATTATTATTTTATTTCTTATATTTCTATACCACCTTTATCTTCCAATGATCCCAAGGTGGTGTGCATGGTTCTCCTCCCCATTTCATCCTCACAACAACCCTGTGAGGTAGGTTAGGCTATGAGATGGTGACAGGCCCAAGGTCATCCAGTGAGCTTCATGGCTGAGTGGGGGAAAAGAAAGGGAAATCAGTAACAAAACTGGAGAACATAAACTGACTAATGAACAGACGAATAATTATTTATTCACCGTTAGTATCAGCCATGCAGACAACTGAGTTACAGTGGTACCTCGGGTTACATACGCTTCAGGTTACATACGCTTCAGGTTACACACTCTGCTAACCCAGAAATAGTGCTTCAGGTTAAGAACTTTGCTTCAGGATGAGAACAGAAATCGTGCTCCAGCAGTGCAGCAGCAGGAGGAGGCCCCATTAGCTAAAGTGGTGCTTCAGGTTAAGAACAGCTTCAGGTTAAGAACGGACCTCCGGAACGAATTAAGTACTTAACCCGAGGTACCACTGTATTTTCAATGGGACCACTGTGTAGGGAAAGGGTTAAGTACATCACATGATTCCTCCCACCACTGCAATTTAACTAGGGCGGGAGAAAATGATATAAAGGCTATGCTATTTGGAAAGGGAAGAGTTAGGAATTATGGCTAGAGAAGAGAGGTGAACCATAGAGAAGAATGTCTACAGGCCAGAATTAGTGAGAATAGCAACAAGGTAAAGGTAAAGGTAAAGGTAAAGGTAAAGGTACCCCTGCCCGTACGGGCCAGTCTTGACAGACTCTAGGGTTGTGCGCCCATCTCACTCAAGAGGCCTGGGGCCAGCGCTGTCCGGAGACACTTCCGGGTCACGTGGCCAGCGTGACAAAGCTGCATCTGGCGAGCCAGAGCAGCACACGGAAACGCCGTTTACCTTCCCGCCAGTAAGCGGTCCCTATTTATCTACTTGCACCCGGGGGTGCTTTCGAACTGCTAGGTTGGCAGGCGCTGGGACCGAGCAACGGGAGCGCACCCCGCCGCGGGGATTCGAACCGCCAACCTTTTGATCGGCAAGCCTTAGGCGCTGAGGCTTTTACCCACAGCGCCACCCGCGTCCCAAAATAGCAACAAGAGATGATATCTAAACCTGACAAAAATGCACAACTATTCTATTGAGCTTAAAAACAAAAGGTTGGATCTGTTGATATCTTGGGGTGGAGGAGGGGCTGGAAGCTGAAGAGGGAAAACATGAGAAGGGGATGTTTCGTTCATGATATCATACAGATACCCTATAAAAAGTCAAGAAAATAAAATGCAGCTATTCCACAGTAAATGACCAGAGTGGAAGCAGCCCTTTCATGGAGATTCAAGGAGGAAGAGTCATTCCCGCCCCCCACAATAGACTGCAACCCCCCAGCTTCCCAGCTTTCATTTTTTAAAAAAGAATAAGGGTTCGTTCATATTGTTTCACGTAGCTAGTCCTGCATCTCCATTGATTCTCAGTTGACCATATGATGTTCACTTCCAAATCACTGCTTTCCCACACTTTTCCTTTCCTCGGTCTGGATTTTCTTGTACCAGAGATACTCTGAAAAGGAGAGAGTTTGAGAAAATCAGGATTGAGTGCGGAGAAAGTGAGGGAAGGCTGCGATTTGGAGGAGAATGCCATATGGACAATGGAGAATTAATGTACAGGAAACTTAAAAGGTAAATGGACCTCTGACCATTAGGTCCAGTCGTGGCTGACTCTGGGGTTGCGTCACTCATCTCGCTTTATTGGCCGAGGGAGCCGGCGTACAGCTTCCGGGTCATGTGGCCAGCATGACTAAGCCGCTTCTGGCAAACAAGAGCAGCACGCAGAAATACCACCAGAGTGGTACCTATTTATCTACTTGCACTTTGACGTGATTTCGAACTGCTAGGTTGGTAGGAGCAGGGACCGAGCAACGGGAGCTCACCACGTTGCGGGGATTTGAACCACCAACCTTCTGATTGGCAAGTCCTAGGCTCTGTGGTTTAACCCACAGCACCACCCGCGTCACAGGAAACTTACTACCCACAATAAACAAGTACGGATGAGCCCCAAGTTTCTAGGATTTACAGAAATAAAGATATGTGGCAAAATGTACAGAGACTATTGTCTGTGCCATAAACTAGCCTGCTCCCCACCTTTGTTGTCTTACTTTGCAACTTCTCCTGGAAAAGTTCTTCCAGACATCCATGCTCCCTTTGTTAATGTTGTTTCTTGTATACTTGGAATTACCCTGGGATCTTCCAGCTGGGGTTATGTTTTTTGAGTGTGTGCTAAAATCTAAGCACGGCCAGATGCTAGAGCAACACTTTCCAGAAGCTTGGGTATTTCCTCTCTGTAAAAAGCATGAGAAACACCAGCAGCCACACCATTCTTGGTTGTTAAGTGGGAGCAACAGTCTTATTTTTCTAACTCCTTGTGCAATCAACCCCACCGAACTTCTTCCATTTTGCAATCTAGTGGCACTATTGGCAAAGCTGCTTGTCCTGGCTTGCACTTGGCCCAGTGGCTCCTCCCCTCCCCACAACATCCTCTTTCAGTGACGATGAAGCCAGTTCTGCAGGTGCCTCAACCATATGCAGTACATTTTTGTCAAGTACTTTCCTTATTTGCTAACTCAATTATTTCTAAAAAGCTAGATTAAGTTTCTCCCAAACCATAGCAGTCCTGTTCTTTCTCAGATGGCTTCACTTTGTGAGGTTTCTACCGTATTTTTCGCTCTATAAGACGCACCAGACCACAAGACTGGTTTTTGGAGGAGGTTTTTGGAGGAGGAAAACAAGAAAAAAACTATTCTGAATCTCAGAAGCCAGAACAGCAACAGGGATCGCTGGGCAGTGAAAGCAGCAATCCCTCTTGCTGTTCTGGCTTCTGGGATACCTGCACAGCCTGCATTCGCTCCATAAGACGCACACACACTCCCCCTTACTTTTTAGGAGGGAAAAAGTGAGTCTTATAGAGCAAAAAATACGGTAATTGCTGGTTTGTAGCAATCTTGAGAGTTTCCATTGTACATATGCAAGCTAACGTAGTGCTACTGTCTCACCTAACAATATCTTAAAGATTGACAGATTGGGGAAAATCTTTTGAGGAGCAGAGCTCAATGAATGACATGGGCTTTCATCCATGGAAGCTTATGCCATAGTAACTCTGCTGACTTTTAAGGTAACACACAAGTCTGTTATTGCTTTTCCTGCAACTGCCTGGCTGTGTAAAAGGTAAAGGTAAAGGACCCCTGACAGTTAAGTCCAGTTGTGGGCGACTCTGGGGTTGCGGCGCTCATCTCGCTTTACAGGCCAAGGGAGCCGGTGTTTGCCCACAGACAGTTTTTCTGGGTCATGTGGCCAGCATGACTAAGCCGCTTCTGGCACAACAGAACACCAAAACCAGAGCAGCACACAGAAACACTGTTTACCTTCCTGCCAGAGCGGTACCTATTTATCTACTTGCACTTTTTGGCGTGCTTTTGAACTGCTAGGTTGGCAGGAGCTGGGACTGAGCAACGGGAGCTCACTCTGTCATGGGGATTCAAACTGCCAACCTTCTGATCGGCAAGCCCAAGAGGCTCAGTGTTTTAGACCACAGCGCCATTAATTTAAAGTACATTTCCCACATCTCAAAGAATCTTGAAAATTATAGTTTACTCCTCACAGAGCCACAATTCCTAGCACTCTCAACAAACTGCAGTTCCCAATATGCTTTGGGAGAAGTCATGTTCTTTAAATGTATAGTGTGTGTGCTTCCCGTGTCACATCTATCCCAAAGGAACTCATTGGAAAGCTGCTTCAAATTGAGTCAGACTATTGTTCCTTCCAGCCCGGGACTGTCCACAAGGGCTGGCAACAAGTTCCCAGGGTTTCAGGCAGGAGACATTCCAAACACTACCTGCAGGTTGACTTTGGGACCTTTGCAAAGCAGATGCTCTTATGCTGAGTTATGGCCCATCTGCAACTTGAATTAAAGCTTATGATGCTCTTAGGGCTGGTATATAATCTCACCTCCCTCCATTACCTGGCTGCTACTCTCACCATTAGCTCTTTAAAAATGGAGTCATTCTGCTATGGAGCTCCTAGCACAGAAATGGTATTGAGCTCTTAAGGCTCCAATTGTAACCTAACCCCAGTTACCTGGGACTATCTTTCATTTAATTCAAAACACTTCTGAGCAGACCTGGTTAGAATTATGCTGTTGCAATGCAAAGGCAGAAATTAAATCAGAATTGACTAAAATTGACAAGCAATTTCTCATTGCACCTGACCTTTTGTTTGCCTTCAAACTGTAGCAGGACTTCAGAGCTGAGGGGAAGAAAGGCCATCAATGTAACCAAAACAAGAAATTGGTAAGTATTTCCTTCTCACATCCCTGTAATAGCTTTACAGTTTTTGTGCAAAACTGGGGTAAAATTGCTGAGCCTTTCACAAGTTTTTCTTCCATTCTCTTTCTGTGAGCAGCGACAACAATGGGATGCAGGAGGTCTTCTAGGAAAAGGGAGAGGTCAGTCAGAATTGCCTCAACACTGGTGTTTTGTTTTGTTTTTACAGGGAAAGGGTTGCCCGATTGAAGCACCCGTAAATGGCAGCAGGGGTGAGAGGAGGGGTTGAGTCTCTCCTGCTTATTTCTCTCTTCTGAAGAATTCTAGTGAGTGCATGAAGACTAAAATTAAGCTCTGAATCCGGCTAGCGCTAAAAATCCCTTTTTACTGCTGCTGTTGTTGCAATGGCATTCCAGGAATCCAGGGATAGCTCATGGGGCTTTCTCTCTGAAGTTAAAGCCGTCTGCCCTCTGGTGGTTGATTTCCAGGTGAACTCTTGCAGTGGCTCCTGTGGAGACAGCTGCTAAGCTTTGGATTTGCAGGGCAAGAAGGGTTTGGCCTGTTTGGTATTTGAACTAAAGTCCTTTAAAAAGTGGCAGGAGGTGGCAGTGGCGGCAGGGAGCAGAATGCCTAGCTCAGGTTTTAGGGCATTTTCACACATGGCAGGAGAAATGCCTCCAAGCCCATCTCTCACTATTTGCATGTGTAATAATAATAATAATAATTTATTATTTGTACCCCACCCATCTGGCTGGGTTCCACAAAGACCAAAAATACACTAAGATGTCACACATTAAAATCTTCCCTGAACCTTAAGCCTTAAGATGTCTTCTGAAAAAAAATGTTTGTCAGGTAGTTGTTTATCTCTTTGACATCTGATGGGAGGGCGCACCACAGGATGGGTGCCACTACCGACAAGGCCCTCTGCCTGGTTCCCTGTAGCTTTGCTTCTCGCAATGAGGGAACCGCCAGAAGGCCCTTGGCGCTGGACCTCAGTGTCCGGGAAGAACGATGGGGGTGGAGACGCTCCTTCAGGTATACTGGGCCTGTGAATGAATGCTGTCAGTGCTGTTCAGAAGACAAAATGGATATATAATGCACATTTTAGCCAGTGAACGATTTACAGAAAGCAGAAATGTGACTTGCTTTGGTATCTTGTGTAATCACTGGTGGTTGGTGCCCACTGGACCTGGCAGGGCTGCTGGGAAGTCACAGAATGTGGCTAGTGAGGTCCCAGGGGTATGCCAAGTTCTGATTTTTTTTCTCCATCCTCTTCCCTTGTGAAGGACTCAATTAAACTGAAATATGTCTTACTTTGGTTTAGAAGGGGTCCCTGCTGTCATAGTTGCTTCTCTGCTGGGAGAAAAGTTGTGTGGATTCCACCTGTTCTGATTCTCTCCTTATCCTCCTCCTCTGAAAAGAAACAGTGGCTTTATCAACACTTTGCAGTTTTATTACTGCTTAACACCCATGTCAGTTACCTTGGTTCAGGAGGGATTCCTGCTGTCGCCATTTCTAGTGAGGGTTCATTGCACAATAACTGTACGTTGCTCACGGGTAAGCTGCTGTTCTTGTCAACTTGAGCAGTGTTTCCTAGCAAGAGAACAGCCATGTAACATGGTGGGTGTTCGCGTAGAAGTAAGTCACACTGTGTTAAATGGGGCTTATGCCTATGCAAGCGCACAAAGAATTGCAGTCTTTACCCCACACGTTTAAAAGACGCCTGCTTCTTGGTAGAAAAGCAATGACAAACCTACACAGCATCTTAAAAAGCAGAGACATCACCTTGCCAACAAAGGTCCGTATAGTTAAAGCTATGGTTTTCCCAGTAGTGATGTATGGAAGTGAGAGCTGGACCATAAAGAAGGCTGATCACCGAAGAATTGATGCTTTTGAATTACGAAGCTGGAATCACGAAGAGTCGTACACGAATAATCTCTTCGTGACCCCATGGACCAGAGCACGCCAGGCACTCCTGTCTCCCACTGCCTCCCGCAGTTTGGTCAAACTCATGTTGGTAGCTTCGAGAACACTGTCCAAACATCTCGTCCTCTGTCGTCCCTTTCTCCTTGTGCCCTCCATCTTTCCCAAGATCAGGGTCTTTTCCAGGGTCTCTTCTCTTCGCATGAGGTGGCCAAAGTATTGGAGCCTCAGCTTCAGGATCTGTCCTTCCAGTGAGCACTCAGGGCTGACTTCCTTAAGAATGGATAGGTTTGATCTTCTTGCAGTCCATGGGACTCTCAAGAGTCTCCTCCAGCACCATAATTCAAAAGCATCAATTCTTTGGCGATCAGCCTTCTCTATGGTCCAGCTCTCACTTCCATACATCACTACTGGGAAAACCATAGCTTTAACTATACGGACCTTTGTTGGCAAGGTGATGTCTCTGCTTTTTAAGATGCTGTCCCATCAGATATCAAGGCAATAAACAACTATCTTGCTTTTAGAAGACACTTGAAGGGAGCCCTTTTTAGGGAATATTTTAATGTTTGATTCTTTATTGTGTTTTTAATATTCTGTTGGGAGCAGCCCAGAGTGGGCCGGGTATAAATAAATTATTATTATTATTATTATCCGAAGGCAGCTCTGTATAGGGAAATTACTTAATGTTTAATTTCCTATTATGTTTTTATATACGTTGGAAGCCATTCAGGGTGGCTGGGACAACCCAGTCAGATGGGTGGGGTATAATAATAATAATAATAATAATAATCCGTCCCTATTTTCATTGGAGAAATGTTGGAGGGTAAACCCTGAAGAGGCCTGATTGCTTGATCACTTTTTTGACCTCCTCACACCACCCCCAGATAAATATCATGGATCACTATGCCACAGTTAGGATCTCAGGGACTCCCACAGCCTGCAGTCACCATGGCAACAATTCTCCCATCAATCACAGACGCTCCGCGTTAGCCAATACCCGGAAAGAACCGTCATCGAATCTAATTTTCAGGAAACAATGGCACTTTATCCGGTCACGTGAGGATGGCTGGTCCAATCGTTGCTCAGCAACGGAGCACTCCAGCCGCTTCCTTGTTCACCATGGGAACTCCCCCATTCTTCCGGTCCTCACCTTCCTCGAAAGCAGGCTTCGGCAAGTGACCGACAGCCCTTTTGTCGAATCGCGGGCAAGAGGCGGGGTTTCAAGGTGAGCCACGCCCTCTCCCTAGAAACTCGCCGACTCGCTGGACATGAAAAAGGTAGGGAGGCGGGACGGGCAGGTTAGCCGAGGATAGCGAGCACAAGCCAATGAGCGGCCGAGTTGGAGGGAGGGGGCGGGCTCTGGGGAAAAGATTGGCGAGGGGCCAGCCAATGCCGTTGGCAGACGCGGCTGATGCTCCACGTCGGCACCGGGGCGACCAAGATGGAGGCGCTGATCCTGGTAGGAGCCGAAGGGGCGAGGGGGACTTGCTGGGGGGCGCGCCCGTTACCATGGAGACGGGCAGGCGGACGGGACGCGGCTGGCAGGTTTCGGCTGGGGCCTCCTGAGGCTCGGGCTCGGTCCTTGGGGCGGGGCCCAGGCCCAGCTACCTGGCGGGAGCCTCCAAGAGGCTGGGGCGGCCCGTATGGCAGACAGCAGAGCTGCCCCTGCGGGAAGGGGGGCTCTGGCGGCCGCTCGAGAGGGGCCCGGGCCAGCTGCTCCTCGTGCGAAATCCAGGGGAGCCTCACCCCACCCCGCCCTCTCTAGCCTTCCCAAGCGGGGGCTCTCCGTCTCCTGAAGCGTGTAGGAGGGGTGTGAAGCGGATTTAACTGCAGGCAAAGGAATAATAATAATAATAATAATAATAATAATAATAATTTATTATTTGTACCCCGCCCATCTGGCTGGGCTTCCCCAGCCACTCTGGGCGGCTTCCACAAAGACCAAAAATACACTAAGATGTCACACATTAAAAGCTTCCCTAAACAGGGCTGCCTTCAGATGTCTTCTGAATGTCAGGTAGTTGTTTCTCTCTTTGACATCTGGTGGGAGGGCGTTCCACAGGGCGGGCGCCACTACCGAGAAGGCCCTCTGCCTGGTTCCCTGTAACTTGGCTTCTCGCAGTGAGGGAACTGCCAGAAGGCCCTCGGCACTGGATCTCAGAACGATGGGGGTGGAGACGCTCCTTCAGGTATACTGGGCCGAGGCCGTTTATTTAGTCCATTTTATTGTGAAATCCTACTGTGGGGATTGATAGGAAAGGCAGGGGTAAAATGCTCATTCCCATTCTGTGCCCTAGTAAAATAAAAAAAGAACTTCCTCTGTGTATGTATGTATGTGTGTGTGTGTAGGAAACGAAATGAAATGTCATGATGCAAAGTTTAATTTTGCAAACCATTAGATGGGAAGGAGGGAAGTTGCTAGCCAAAAAGATAAGCTAATAATAATAATAATAATAATAATAATAATAATAATATTTTATTATTTATACCCTGCCCATCTGGCTGAGTTTCCCCAACCACTCTGGGCGGCTCCCAATCAAATGTTAAAAACAGTACAGCATTAAATATTAAAAACTTCCCTAAACAGGGCTGCCTTCAGATGTCTTTTAAATATAGGAGAGCTGCTTATTTCCTTCATATCTGAAGGGAGGGCGTTCCACAGGGCGGGCGCCACTACCGAGAAGGCCCTCTGTCTGGTTCCCTGTAACCTCACTTCTTGCAATGAGGGAACCGCCAGAAGGCCCTCAGCGCTGGACCTCAGTGTCCGGGCAGAACGATGGGGGTGGAGACACTCCTTCAGGTATACAGGACCGAGGCCGTTTAAAATAAAATAAGAGGATATGATGTTATGTAATGTGATTATATGTAAAACCAATAAAAATTATTTATAAATGTGTGTGTGTGCGCGTGCACGCACACACACACACTGGACTGCTTTCCTATTCCTGCAGGGGTTCCTCATTAATCTGTAATGGTAGATGCATTTTCCTTTAAGACAGGTTGCTGACCACTCCTGAACTTGACATGCAATGTGCAGCTGAAGAGTTCTGGGTTTTCCGATGCACTTTCAGTTTCCGCAGGGCTGCTGTGAGGCCCATCAGGATTGGTTGGTGCCCTCTGTGAACCGAGTCCATTAACCCTTTTCCAAATGCCTCAGGGAGCAGAGGAAGGGGCCGTCTAATGAGTCAGACAGAGCATTGATCCATCTAACTGATGATGATGATGATGATAATGATAACTGAGCACTGTCAACACTGACTGGCAGCAGGTCTTCAGGGTTTAAGGCAGGGGGGATGCCAGAGATTGAATCTAGGATTTCTGCAGGAATGCAGATGCTCTTCCACAGAGCTGCAGCAGGGGCTGCTTGACAGGGAAGTCAGTTGTGGAGAAGGTGGTAGAAATTTTGAGAATCCCTGGGGGACAAGGTTGTAGATAGGCTAGTGTGCCCTGCAGCTATACAGTCTTTGTCCTATTCTGAAGAACCACATGCATGTATCCATCTGTTTGTCAATAAAGCATGCTTTAAATACATGCCAAGCTACTATCATAAATGCCCATTTTTTCTGCAGGGTCAGCAAATAATAATAATAATAATAATTTATTATACCCCGCCCATCTGGCTGAGTCTCCCCAGCCACTCGGGGTGGCTCCCAATCAAATGTTAAAAACAGTACAGCATTAAATATTAAAAACTTCCCTGAACAGGGCTGCCTTCAGATGTCTTTTAAAGATAGGATAGCTGCCTATTTCCTTCACATCTGAAGGGAGGGCATTCCACAGGGCGGGCGCCACTACCGAGAAGGCCCTCTGTCTGGTTCCCTGTAACCTCACTTCTCGCAATGAGGGAACCACCAGAAGGCCCTCAGCGCTGGGTCTCAGTGTCCGGGCTGAACGATGGGGGTGGACACGCTCCTTCAGGTATACAGGACCGAGGCCGTTTAGGGCTTTAAAGGTCAGCATCAACACTTTGAATTGTGCTCAGAAACGTACTGGGAGCCAATGCAGACCTCTCAGGACTGGTGTTATGTGGTCCCGGCGGCCACTTCCAGTCACCAGTCCAGCTGCCGCATTCTGGATTAATTGCAGTTTCCGAGTCAACTTCAAAGGTAGCCCCATGTAGAGCTCATTGCAGTAGTCCAAGCGGGAGATAACTAGAGCATAATACTCTCATACTTTTTGATGCTTTGGTGAATTCAGGGAAGGGTTTCTAATGTCTGCTTGCAGGGCCATCCTTAGATGTTTTGGAATCTAAGTGATGCATGGTAAAAGAGTATAAATAACATCACTTATAATTTGCTGCACCTCAGTGGAAATCTGGCCACCCCTAGCCTTATTGTACTTAGTTTGAACTTTCATTTTCATATTCTAGACAGGGGTGAGGAACCTCAGACCTTGAAGCAAAATGCAGCCCTCTTAACTTTTCTGACTTGTCCTTAGGAGTCTCACCAGGTTAAAACCCCTCTCCTCAAGCCACACCCCGCACCAGCCCTGCTTCACAGCCTCCTTGAGAGTTTTTGCCTGGCTGGAATGTGCCCTTGAACTCTGATAATGCCTCTTCCTTGCCTGGATGGAGAATAGGGAGGTTGTGTTTGTGTTTGTCTGTGTGTGAACTAGCCTATTGTACCCAGGTAAAATTAACATTTATTGCTCTACCTACTTTTGCTTCTGGCCCCACTGATCAGTGGCTTGTGGCCCTTGGAAGGTTGCCCACAAGGAAATGCATCCCTCTGGCCATAAAATGGTTCTGCACTTCTAACTTACAGGAGTGGGGGGCCTTAGCAGGTGCTCTACAGTGCTGGCCCTGCTTTTGGGAAAATGTGGCCAAATCTCTGGCACCCAAATGGGCACATATTGTCAGTCATTTGTAAATGCAGTTTTTTCTCCAAGTCAGATTGCCTTATTTACTGACTTGCCTTAGCTCTAAATAGAGGTTGTGTGGTATAGTGAATAGAGTGCTGAATTTGGACTCAGGAGACTTGGGTTCAACTCTTTGCTTAACTGTGAATCCACTATGGGTCTTGATGATTGTTTTATTAGATTTATGTTTTGCCTTTTCAACGAATAGCTGCAGACAGTGAACAAAACAAAATGATAAGCAGCAAGAGTGCTGAAACAATGCAAAATAAGAAGAAAGAAAAATACCTTTATTGTATTGGGCCATAACAATGCGACAAGTAAACAGAGGTCAAATGTCTCTGTTACTGCTACTGGCAGTTGTTGAGTTTCCTTAGCAGGGACCTTGGGTGAGCCACTCACAGCCTAACCTACCTTGCTGGGAGGAAAAAATGGGGGAAACTCCATGTATTGTGAATTAAGCTCTTTGGAGGAAAGGCAGTGCACCTATTGCAGTCTTCCCCAACTGTACACACCAGATGAATCGCCCCCATGAAAATTTGTTTCCTACTGCTGTTTAGCTGAGGGCCGTCATTCAAAATTAGCATTTTTATTAATTTTTGTTTCTGCTCACCCTTGCGTGCCACAATCCTTGAAGGTAAAGGTTAGGTCCAGTCGCGGATGACTCTGGGGTTGTGGCACTCATCTCGCTTTACTGGCCGAGGGAGCCGGCATGCAGTTTCCGGGTCATGTGGCCAGCAGGACTAAGCCGCTTCTGGCGAACCAGAGCAGCACATGGAAACACTGTTTGCCTTCCCGCCGGAGCGGTACCTATTTATCTACTTGTACTTTGAGGTACTTTTGAACTGCTAGGTTGGCAGGAGCAGGGACCGAGCAACGGGAACGCACCCCGTTGCGGGGATTCGAACCACCGACCTTCTGATCGGCAGCCCTAGGCTCTGTGGTTTAACCTACAGTGCCACCCGTGTCCCTTTGCCACAATCCTTAAGACCCCCTAATTTGGTCCATCCTCACAAAAATCTGCGAAGAAGATCGAGGATTGCTATAGCTGATTCCAGTTTAACAGGGCTGAGGAATCTGCAGCCCTCTGGACGATGTTGGACTACAATTCCCATCACCCTCAACTGTTGGCCACATTGCCTGATGGGAACTGGAGTCCAACAACATCTGGTAGGCCACATGATCGGCCATGATTGAAGCAGTAACTTCCCCGAGTTACCCAGGAAATCCACAGCATTACAAATTCAAATCCCCTGCTTTTCTAGATTCCAGAAAACACATTATGCTGAGATAATTGTCAGAGAGCTAGTTGTATCTATACTGAAGTTTAGATTGGACCTGCAAAAAGCCTTGTCCTAGTTCTCACTGAGGTAGTTAGTGAGTGGAGTGTTCCTCTTCAGACTGCACACAAAAGCTTCCTCATGAAAAGAAAGGTCCTTGCCGATAGGAAATTAGTATGGTGGAAAACCAGAACTAGCGTTGTTCCGGTGCCACATAGTACTTGTTCTGCAGTGGTGAGAAATTGAGCAATATAGGCAGCACCTACACTTTGGAACTCCCTTCCTATTGACCTCTCCTGCACTCTTTTCAGCACCTAGAACATTTTTCTTTAGGTGAGCCTATCCAGATATATAGCTGTTGACATGCTTTAAACTTTTGCTGCTATAAAATGTTTTTAATTGTTTTTACTGATCATTTTAATGTGTTTTTTTTGTAAATTGCTTTGAGGTTTTATTACAATCAAGTGATATATACATTTTGTTAAACAAAATCAAAATATAAATAATAATAATTATAAGAATAGATGTTGGGGGGAAGGCTTTGCTATACAACTGTTCACCTGGTCATCTCGGCTTTATTATGAGGAAGGAATTTTTGTGTGGCTTTAGGAATATTTAGTCAGGTGGGGTCTGCACCTTTGGTCTGAACTGTACAGCACAGACACAGGTTTGACACTTTAGTGAAAAGAGGCAGGCCAGAATCTGAAGAACTTGGCCCATTTTAAAAGGACTGCCCGTGCAGTTTTGTGTTACACATGAGGAAACTTGACTAACTTTACATGGGCTTTTTTTTTTAAAGTGCGGTAGAGGGGGCTTAAATACCAGGCTCTGTGTTGCTAGTTGGGGCCATTGTGAATCTATGTCATGGGTTGGCAAACTATGGCCCGGGGGCCAGATCAGGCCCAATTGCCTTCTAGATCTGGCCCACGGATGGTCCGGGAATCGCCATGTGGATCGGTGTGGGGATTCTGATCATTCGGGCTGTGCTATTTCTCCCCCCCACACACACACACTGTGGCGGCGGCGCCTCCTCCCTCCCTCCCTCCCCCTGGCTTCTCCCCACCTTGCCTAGAGGAGGAATGGGGCTGGGCTTTGTTGGCTGAGCACCATTTTAAGCAGCCCCTCTCTGGAGCCAGCCCTTTCACACCGCTCATCGTCCCTCCGCAGCCCCTGCCGCTCGCAAGCTCATCCGGTGCTGTGGAGAAGTGAGGGGATAGTCAGTGGGGAAGAATTCCCCCCTCCCCCCAAAAAAATAGTATGCCCCCCCCCACGTCTGACAGACAGTGGACCGGCCCCCTGCGAAAAAAGTTTGCTGACCCCTGATCTATGTGGTGAGAACCATCCACTTATAGGAAGCGCTGCATTTTGTAGCATGTGCGATGCACACTTATTTTGAAGAAAGCCTTTTGAACTCAGTGGGGCTGACTTTGGACTCAGCTGCAAGGCATAGTACATCAAATTGCCTTTTGAACATTGGCTTAACCAGGTAGCTAAAATAGTTTTCTTACCTCCCCAGCCCACTCCTCCCTTCAAATAAAAACTACACAGAAGACCGGAGTCAATTGGGAGAAAACTCCTCATCCCTGATTTTGGTGATTGATTAGATCTTGAATGTGAAGCAAACGCCATCCTCGGTCTTTTTTGGGGGCGGGTGGAGGAGTCATTTGTTTGCGATGCTCTTGGAGGCGTGGAAGATATGCTAATGCTGGGTTGAGGAACCTGTGGCCCTCCAGTTCCCATCAGCGTGGTCAGGAGTGATGGGAGTTGGTTGTTCCACAGCATCTGGAGAGGGGAAAGCAAAACCTTTTCTGACTCCAATGAACTGCAACTGGGATATCCAGTTTTTTTAAAAAAACTGCTAGTGCCAACACCTGCTGAGGAGAGGATTTGGGATTTGAATTTCTTTTTAAGTTCAGCAGCACAACTGCATTGGCAAAGACACCGGATGCCATTTTGCTGTGCAGCACGTGACTATCGCTAGGTTTGGTGTGGTGTGATTTGGGGTAGCAGGACCCTTGCAATATGCTTTCTCTCTTTGGAGGAAATGCCTTGGCTTGGCTTGCGAGCTGTGCATTCCCTAGATGGGAATAGCCCTGCCTTCTCCGCGTGGCTCTCCCAATTGCCTCTTGCAGATAAAACCCAGCACGGACATATTTCTTGCTGTCTCCTCTCCCTCGCCAAATGCTCCCCTTCCGCGAGGTCCTGGCAGCTGTAAAATCTTTATGGCAATGCTGCTGCTATCGTGCTGACCATCTGGGCCGTTGCACACCTAGTTTAATTGATTGAAGTTTAATTTATTGAAACTTCAGAATTAAATGATCAGAATAAACTGTGCAGTAACTCTTAACGTCTTGTTTTAATGGTTGATTGCTCGAGGCAGCCCTTGGCTTGAACTGGAAGCCTCCAGAGAGGAATTTATGCCGCTTCTGGCCTTCCAGTCAGCGCTCATTATAGATTTAAAATGTGTGTTTATTAGCTGCCTCTCCAGTAGAAGCTTGTCTCTCTGGCAAAGAGATGTATAAATTCTCCTCCGATGCTTGTATGGTAAGCATCTATTCTTACTCTCTTCGGAAGCAAGGCAGGAAGGAGATGTGTGGCTTTTGCCCATCTCATCTGTGGCTTCATTCAATCGAGGTCAGGGATGGGGGTATTCCTCTGACAGTATTTGTATAGCAAATTGTCTGCTTAGCTTTGGGGCATTGACATGTTGCACTTACAATTTTCACAGGCCTTCATGGGGGGGGGAGTTTAGACCCCCTCTTCGTACTGCAAAGCAAGGATTTGTGCTGTAAAACAGGCATTGCCCAGGGGACTGGTGAAATATGATAGGAGAGCAGGAAATTTCCCTCTGCACATCTGCCTGCCTGCAAAGTTTGCCAGGCAAATTTATGTATGTGTGTGTGCGAAGAAGGACGAAGGCAACAGAAGGAGATTCTAAATTTGTCTACATTATTGCTCGTCCACATGATAATGGATGAGCCATTCTGTGTGTGTGTGTGTGTGTGTGTGTGTGTGTGCGTGCATGTCAGAGAGAGAGAGGAAGACCTGGTCTGTTTTCTTCTCTTCCTTTGTATGGCGTGAGGCATGCAATTTCTGTTGGAACAGTGAGACCCCCTTTGTAAAATGGAGACCTTGAGAGCAGTGGTTTTCATGCTGTCTGGCTTCACAGATCCCTCTTCAAATGGACTTACCTGCTGTGTAGCGTGTTTCAGTATTGGTCACCAAAGAGCTTCTTGCAAATGATTCTGGGAAGAGTTTTAAGGTGTTCACTCAATTCTGTGCAGAGTGCTGGCCAGTCCTGTTGGGCTTCACCATTGCATGAACTGAGAGTGCATCCTAGAGCAGGTCTGAATATTAGGAGATAATTTAGGTAGTGGTGGGTGAGCTGTCATTCAGGGATGCTTAGTTGCCATTACTGATCTCTGAGGAATCCCTGGATCCTTCAAACTGTTGTATGAAAAGCTCTGCATTAGACCCAGGCTGTTCTCCAGTAGAATCATGGCTGGCTGCTCTTATGATGGGTCCTGTCTAGGTGATTCAGAGATAAGAGAACCTTCTGTTCCTATGGCTTGAGAAAAGTCATGCGTAGTGCTGTCTCAGTCTGACCCAGTGGGTCAGTTGTTTGGAATGGGGTGGCCAGACGTAGAGTTTCTGTGGAGTGGTGGATCCGCCTGCCAGAGTCTACTCCATAGATGAGCCTGCAGCTCCTGTTGCAGCACTTGAGGTGAAGTTCTGTTATACACTCCGACTGTGGCTATGTGGAAGTCAGTGCATCACAGAACTTTGTCTCGAGAGCTTTCAAGCGTCCAGCATGGAGGAGCTGCATCTCTTTCTGGTCCTTTCTCTTGCCCCAAGCATGCCCTCTTTGTAAGCACTAAGCCTCAGAATCTCATTCAGCCGCAGACATGGCAGGGAGGTGGCCCCCATTTTCTCCTTTTACATACAACACATTCTTAATCTCTCCTTTACCTTGGGATAGGGATGTGACATTTGCTCTGCATTTTGGGCTATCTAGGTCCTAGACTATGGTCCTAGTCCTGACAAGCTGATACCTGATCTGGAGCTCATTGTGAGCTGCTGTTTGGTGTAGTGTGGTTGCCTTCAATATTGTCAGACATGGGAACCACTGAGTGTGTTACAAGCTCTGCAGTGTTAAAAATTCAGGTATATAAGCTACGTGCCAAATGGCACCTTCAGTCTAGGTTGCGGACGCCACAATGGAATGTCTATTCACCAAGGGGTTGGACTTAATGACCCTTGGGATCTCTTCCAACACTTCAATTCTATGATCTCAATTAAATTGCTTGACTGTAGCTTGCTCTTGCAACAATTCACTTGTTTCAGTATGCAAGAAGGAAGAAAACACACAGTGGAAATGAAAATGTTATTAACTATGGAGCAAAGCAGAGGTTTTAAACTGCAGCCGCCAGCCTGGCACACAGAAATCTCCACGTAGTCACAATTGGACCTGCACCAGTAGCAAAACAAGCCTGGCGCCTGCCTAATTTCAAACACTGCTTCCAGCCTGGAGTAATTGGTATGGAGGAGCATAGTATATGCACAGCCCTCCTTCTTGTAACAGCTCCTAGGGCCACCCATCAGAAGCTGTGGCCCTACCCCTGGGTAGGTCAGCAGTCAGAGGAAGCAGCACATGGTATTGTTTGAATGGACCTGTGACATTGTGCTTTTCTTTGCAGGAGCCATCTCTCTACACTGTGAAAGCCATCCTGATCTTGGACAACGATGGAGACCGTCTGTTTGCCAAGGTAAGTTTTCAGGGGGATCTGGAAGGAGCGGGAAGGTACAAGGCTCCAAGGGGCCTGAGCAAAGCAGCCTGGCAGAGTTGTCACTGAGAGCTGGGGAGCTCTTATGGACCGTTAACTGAGCCCCTGCTTTCCGAGCAAGAAGGACGTTAGTCCAGTCACCCGTGCTCATTGAGGCAGCATGTGATCTATCTTAACTCTTGCTAGTAGATTCCTATCCGGTGTGTTCTGATACCTGGCACTCCTTTATGCGAGCGTGTAGAGAACCTGTGACCATCCAGATGTCTAGCTTCCATCTTGACTTGTCCATTGGCCCTGCTGGCTGATGGGAGTAGTCCAACAACATCTGGAGGCTCCATTTATTTGGGCAAAATCTTCCTTGCTGGAAGGCAGCCCTGTTTAGGGAAGCTTTTAATGTTTAACAGACTATTGTATTTTAATATTTTGTTGGAAGCCGCCCAGAGTGGCTGGGGAAACCCAGCCAGATGGGCGGGGTATAAATAATAAATTATTATATTTATTCATTCATTCATTCTCCATGCCATCCTTGAGGTAGCTTTGTAAGTGCAGGATCATTTGCTTGCGATGTTGCCCTGCTTGCAAAATGAGTGTCTCCTGGGAAAAGTCCCAGTGTATTTATTTATTTAATACCATTTAGATGCCACCTAATTGTTTCTAAAAGTCAGCTTACAAAAAAGTGTAGTTTCCCTTTTTTTTCTTCACTATGGTGCCACCCCCAATTCTACACCTGCTGTCTTGGCAGAGGATGGATTTGTGTTTCCTTTGCAGCCTGGTGCCTCCCCCCCCAGGGCTTTGGACTACAACTCTCATCAGCGCCAGGCAACACAGCTGTGTTACATTGGGCTGACAGAGGCTGCAGTCTAAAACAACTGGATGGATCTAGGTTGGCGAAGGCTGTTCTAACCCACAGACCACAACTAAAGTAATTATTATTATTATTTATACCCTGCCCATCTGGCTGTGTTTCCCCAGTGACTCTGGGTGGCTTCCAACAAAATATTAAAATACAGTAGTCCATCAAACATTAAAAGCTTCCCTAAACAGGGCTGCCTTCAGATGTCTTCTAAAAGTCAGTGAGTTGTTTATTTCCTTGACATCTGATGGGAGGGCGTTCCACAGGGCGGGCGCCACAACCGAGAAGGCCTGGTTCCTTGTAACTTGGCTTCTTGCAGTGAGGGAACCACCAGAAGGCCCTCGGCGCTGGACCTCAGTGTCCGGGCAGAACGATGGGGGTGGAGACGCTCCTTCAGGTGACATAATTCACTTTTTTGGGGAGGGGGGGAGGCTGTGGAACCTGGATCAAAATCCCTGCTGAGCCACACACTCACCAGGGGCCTCTGCTTCTGCCTCTGCCGCTGTATAAAATAGGAAAGTGTCCTGCACTTTAGCCTTTTCTGTGAGAGCTGTTATGATGGAAAACAAACACTATTATCTGTTCTAAAAGTTGTGTGTGTGTGGCAGTCTAGCAGCCTTGTGTTCAGTTCTGCTCAGGAATTCTAAGAAGCGCCCAGAACCCAGTGCAATTTTGAAAGGTTCATTCTGCCATTTTTATTCGAAACAGTGTCCAGTTTGTATCCAAACGTAGACAAAAACCTGCTCCTTGATCTCAGGAACCATCATGCAAAATTTGGTTACTATATGTATATTTTATATAGCTCAGAGAGAGCCTCTGGTTTGTCACTTACATAGTCACACTGGATTGCCTCATGATAGCATTTTCCTGTGCTTTAAGAGCTTAAGTTAAGTGGAAGGATCAAGAATTAGATTTTTGAATGCTTTCGCAAAAATGAGGTGGTAAGAGCGAAAGAGCATCATATTGGTGAAAAAAGAATTGTATAGTCTTATCTGGTCATTATTTTATTCCCTCTAAAGGGAGATAAAATTTATATAAATATTGCCTTTTTGTTGCTTATTGCTCTTTTTTCATAGGTTAGTTTTGTCACTAAAAAGATTTCCCAGATTTTCCTTAGCCGTTCTTGTACTGCAGGAGATCTCTTAGGAGTTGTTCAAAGGCACAGACAACTTGACAAAATATAAAGCTTAATAAATAAATGTTTGAGTGTCATGTTTGTGCAGCTCATATGAGCAGCATTTGACCCTGACAAGTGGTTTGTCTCGCATTCCTCTCATGTAACAAGCATGCTTTCTTTCCCCCTGCAGTACTATGATGACACTTACCCCTCCGTCAAGGAGCAGAAGACCTTTGAGAAGAACATTTTCAACAAAACTCACCGGACAGATAGTAGGTTCTGCTGGGGAGCGTGATGGGAGAAGGCACCTGGGACTGTAATATATACATGCATATATATGCATATTTTAAACAGGGCTCCCCCTGGAATCCTTCAGCCAGAAGAGTCAGACACATCTACATGGCTTTCTTTGTTTGTCTATCTGGTTTTTAAAATACTCCCCACTCCACCCAGAGGTTGGAGTGTGTGAATATTGATGCGAGTCCTCCTCCAGGAGTAGTCCAGCAGTTCTCCTCTCTTGCAAACACAGCAGCAGCAAATGTAGAGCAGGGAGGTGGCAAAAGTTTTACCTGCTCTGCAGCTGTTTGGCTGCTCCATGGGTCTATAACCATGAGTATAGTGGCTTTGCTTTGATTGGAGGGCGGTATCTACACTAGTATGCAATGAGAAATCAGAATGACAGTGCAAGAAAGATTGATAAAGAAGCAGATCTTTGACATACCCCAATGTATTTTGAATATAAATGTTCTTCATCAGGGGAAAACTGACTCTATTCTAAATTAAGAAATGGCATTCCAGTTGAATTCCGTCTCCTCCAGCCTCTTCCAGAGTGCATGGAGGACATAAGCAGCAGCGGTAACACTTGAAAGAAGACATTTCATTCAGTTTCCCTTCTCATAAAGAAGCTGTTCTATTTGTGCTTGTGCAGCTGAGCTAGCGCAATTCAGTCAGCGGATTCTGCGCTTGGATGTTTGGCAGTGTGCACCTCATTTGTGTAAATGTGTGCTGCATGTGGGCATAATTGCTGGCGGTGTCTGCACTATGCAGCAAGTGGTGCCAATTCAAGATTGCAGTCCAATTTAAACAGCAACCCCCCCCCCCCAAATCAGATAGATCTTCCTACAGCGGTGCAAACTCGCCCAAAGATTTTGTGATGACTCTGGATGTTGCTTTCTTGCTTAGCAGCTATTGAGAAAAACAGGAAGAGTGCTGCTTTTCTTGTAGTCCTCATGTTCTCTTCTAGCTCTTATTATTTTTGTTATTTTATTCCTTTTCTCTCTCCCTCCACCTAGGTGAGATTGCTCTCCTAGAGGGACTGACAGTTGTTTACAAGAGCAGCATTGACCTGTATTTCTACGTCATCGGCAGCTCCTACGAAAATGAGGTGTGTATATCCTTAGGTGGCAAAGAGGCTTTTCTGCAGAAATGATGCATGCAAGGTTTTGACTATCCTGGCTTCCCTGCTGAAGGTTATGTTGGTCATGATCTTTGGGCTGTGTGAGATCCTTGGCTTCTTCCTCTGCCACAAAGCATGCTTGCAACGCTGATTGCCACTGCGGTGCTGAGGCGAGGGAGATTTGTTGAACTCCTCCACCCTCCCTGAAAATAGTTGACAGTCCCACAGGATTCTTTTAAGGCAGAGGTGGGGAACCTGTGGTTCTTCAGTTGTTGTGTGACTTCACCTAACATCAGCCACAGCCAGCATAGCCAATAGCGAGAGGTTGATGGGAGTTGTAGTCTAAGAGAATATTGGGGGCATGGCTTTCATAGCCCTGCTTTAAGAGGGATGACTTCAACAGAGCAAGAAGATCCTGGATTTCTATGTCCTTGGGGTGGGTGGGGGTGCTGGCAATCAATGCCATGCTATTGCCCTCTAGGAATTACCCCCCAAAATTGCTCCAAAGCCAGCTTTGCCTTGAGCCACTTTTGTATGCGATCGCATGGATTGTGTGCATGTGTGTGTGGTTCCTTTGCTCTGAAACTTTTGTTTTCTCCTTTGCAGCTAATGCTAATGGCTGTGCTGAACTGTCTCTTCGACTCACTCAGTCAGATGCTGCGGTAAGAATCTGCTTTCTGATCGTGGCTGAGCTGGTTGCACAGGGTGAAATGTGGGAATTGTTTTTGTGCCTCAAATGCATTCATTTTGGGGTTGGGTACACCACGGAGAACAAAAGCACTTCCTAATTTTTTAATGTTTTGGAAGTGCAAAAAAAAAAAAAGTACTTAATTGTTTGGATTCCACCCCCAACCCCTCGGATGTTTTAAGTCACAATAAAATCAATTGAAAGTCTATTTTCAGCCTCCTGTCTCCAAAATGGTTTAAGTGACCCCTAGTGCTATACTGTGCATGTTTACCCAGAAATAAAGACTGGCACTGGCACTTACAGACCAAGACATTTTCCCTGGGCAATTTAATTTGGGCAACACATTTAGCTGCTGCCTCATAGTATCATCTCATCATGTTTTATAATGTAAATAGTTATTTATAATTGGACTCAGAATAATGAAGACATGTCTTCAACAGATTAAAAAGGCCCATTGAAGTTCGGTGGGATTTACTCCCACATATAAGTGAGTTTAGGATTGCAACCTCAGTTATGGGTTATTCAGGAAGGTGTGTAAGCCGGGATAAGAGCATATAAAAGGGTCCAGCTGGCAGCCACATGTGAGTAGAAAGAGAAGGTTTCCTTGGCAGAGGCAGATGTGCAGGATATGGGTCCTGTCGTGCCTTTTTCCTTTTTCAGCAATAATAAAGATGATATGCTAGGCGTGTCTGTTGTGGCACAGCAAAAGCACAGAATCAAGCTTCTAAAAATTGTGGCTTTTGTACTTTAGCAGGGAACTATTGGGGTGGTTAGAAGCTGCTAGAGGCGAACTAAAGCCTTACATACACATCACATCTTCTGGCTTCCTAACCCACGTCTAAGCAGAAGTGGAATATATTCATGGCAATGAATAGATGATTGCGCTGCTTGCCTTAACTATATTATATATTTATTTGTTGAAGATATTTAATTGCCGACATCTCGTAAGTGGTGTGCATAAAAATTACTAAAAGCATACAATGGATAAATTCAATTACTATTAGTCTTAAAAACAGAAAAATCCCTTTAAATGTCTGCTGAAAAGGAAAGGTCTTGGTCAGGCGCCTGAAGCTCAAGAGGGGAAAGGGCCTTTCTAATCTGAGCTGGGAGGGGGCTCCAACTCCCCTGCTTCTGTATTAAATACATATTTGTCCATATTTATTTAGGTTCTGGAATATGACTTTTATTAATGTAGAATTGCAGTTTCTTTGTGTGGGTGGTGGTGGCGCATAATACATGTGTATGCTCATGCCCCATTTAAAGGAAGGCCTTTGTGTATGGTTTTGTGTGTCCCATGGTTCAGGGTACAAGCCCTGGAATCCAGGGCAGAATTAAAGAATCCTGAGGTTATCATCAGGTTGCTAGTCATTAGAGCCCTGCTGAATCGGTCCAAAATCCCATCTGGTTCAGCATCTTGTTCTCACAGCCAGATGTGCAACCAGATGCCTGGGGGAACCCTCAAGCAACACACGAGTGTAATGGCAGTCTCCCTATTTGTGGTTCATTATCCTCCAGGAATTTGCCCAGATCCCTTTTAAAGCCTCACTGCATCTCACCCAGCCCCTTCATCGTCCTTGCGATTGCACAGCGAAGCTTTTATTTTTTTTATATAAATAATTTTTATTGAGATTTAAGATCACCCACCAACACCCACCAACACCAGTAAAACATCAAATCTTATTACATATATCCTACTTTATGCTCTGTAGAGCTGTTGACTTCCGTCCTTCCCTTCCATCAGTTTTCCTATTCTATAGTTCACAGTTTCTTTGATTAGATATTACTCACAGCAAAGCTTTTAAATGTGAGGCACGTCTGAGTAAGGTCTGTGCTTAAGGCTCTGACAATGAGCTAGGTTGTGAGATTCCCTGGGTGGTAAGATGAGACCTAGACCCTCAGCTTCTCAACTGAGCAGAATCTGGTTTGTCCTTCTGTAGGAAGAATGTGGAGAAGCGAGCACTTATGGAAAACATGGAGGGCCTTTTCCTGGCAGTGGATGAAATTGTGGATGGCGGGTAAGTCCAGCCACAACACTAAACTTCTAGACTTCTCACAGCTCTTTTCAGGATCTGATACGTGTGTGTATGTGTGTGCGTGCATTGAAAGAATGTGCATTCTTGATGGTGGCCCTTGCATTTGCATGACTCTTCTATCGCTCCTGCCCTGCTCTTGGAGCGTAGCCCAGCTGAGTGAGTGATTGCTTCTTCATCTCTTACAGGGTGATTCTTGAGAGTGACCCCCAGCAGGTACTACATAGAGTTGCTGTGCGGGTAAGTGAAACCCATCTCTTTTCTTCTTCCTTGAATGCCTCTTCAGTAGGCATGACCTCTCTGCTGACCTCTGTCCCCCTGAAGGGCACAGAACCCATTTTACGACAGAAGAAATCAACCAATTGCAGTGTTGGGGAGAGGGGTGTGGGTTTGTTTGTTTTTTGTATATGTTGTTTACTTTTCCCCCCTTAACATATTTGAAATCTAATAAAATATTTTTTTTAAGGCCAAATTGCATACCGTATTTTTCGCACCATAAGACACACTTTTCCCTCCTAAAAAGGAAGGGGAGATGTGTGTGTGTGTTATGGAGCAAATGCAGACGGGAGGTTCTGCTCAGCGCTCCCTTTAAAGAGCCGCGCTGAGCCTGTGTGCGGCTCTTGCTGGCTTTTCCCTGAGGTGGGAGAAGGGACAGACGGGCTGCCCTCTGTCCCTTCACTACCTCCCGGAAAAGCCAGCAAGAGCCACACACAGGCTCAGCGCGGCTCTTTAAAGGGAGCACTGAGTGGCTCTTGCTCTGCTGGCTTCTCAGCAAAGCAGGAGGAGGGACGGACGGGACAGGTGCTTTGCTTGCTTTACAGCGAGGCGGGAGGAGGGATGGGCAAGCAAAGTGAGAGCTGCGCAAAGTGGGACAGAAGCCATGTAAGCGGCTCTTGCTTTGCTTGCTTTAAAGCAAGAACAGCAAAAGCCGCTTACATGCTCTACACATAATTTTTTTTTTCTTGCTTTCCCCCTCTAAAAACTAGGTGCGTCTTATGGTCAGGTGCGTCTTATGGAGCGAAAAATACGATAGGTTGATGGGGGGAAGGAAGAGGAGGCTGCTGCTGGTAATCTGGTTAGTGGTTAGACTAAGTGACATTGGGCGGTAGATTTCTGAGCAAGGCATAACTCCTGGGTAGGAGCTGGGAACTCAAGAGCAGTTATGTAGCAGAGAGGAATGGGGTCTCCTTTCAGGAGTCAGTAGACCTAGAAGAGCCTTGCTGTATTAGGCTGAAAGTCTATATACAGCATCCTGCAGTCAGGCCTGCTTTCAATTGCTTTATTATTTCTGCACACCATTGAATTTGTGGTTTCCCCTCTTTGTATTTCAGGGAGAGGATGTCCCTCTTACAGAGCAGACAGTGTCACAGGTATGTCTTCTGCCTAGATCTTGCTGGGTACCTTTCATTAAATGCTGCTGGTACCACTTTTTCTACATGTCTCCTCCCCCTCCCCTTTTCCCTGAAGCTTCTGGGATATCGCACCAACTTTAACTTGATGTGCCAGCCAAAAACATTTCTGTTTACCCATGCATTTGGATCTTGATTTGATCATAATGTGGTATGATTCTGGCCTATTTTGGTGTTCATCTTTTTATCCTTGTTGCCAGATGAACACTAATAATCACCTTGAGGTTTTTACAATCAAACGGTATATAAATTTTATGAAGTAAAATAAATAATAATTGAGGAGGCATGCTAGGAGTAGATGTCTGCCTATCGCATCCCACAAATACGTTTTTGGCGTCTGATGCAGAATTTAATATGCTGATATTCTTGCCTGCCAAAAAAAGAAAGAACAGCAACCCAATCTTCTTAGTCCTTATGGCTATAGAAATAAGTATGGAGACCTGTTGATTAAATCTCACAAGCCAAAGGGAGCCTAAGCAGAATCTTGGCTGGTGAAAGGGCTGAGCTTAAGTGCAGTGCATAGGAAATGCCCCTAGTGCTTTTAGATATCAGGCATTGCATTTTGGAAAAAGCAAGTCGCTCAGCCCCTTTCCAGAAGTGTCACAGGGGAATATGCATTTTTAGCGATGTACAGCTGTGGCTGGTGGTGGCAATGTTTGTATGTGTGCATGCAGTACGAATCCTTTTCCAGGTAGTATTTAAGGCGTTTGCCACCAAGGTGTTTCCTGTTAACCACAAAAGGGTTGGGTTAGTGGAGAATGTGTTTCAACCGAATCCTGCAGGCTGAAAAAAAATCTGAATCCTTCAACTTTCGTCTGCAGGTGCTGCAGTCAGCAAAGGAACAGATCAAGTGGTCACTACTGCGATGAGGAGCCACGTGGGATCTCCCCCATTAACCTACTGTGTCCCCAGCTGTCCCCTCTTCCTGTCTGTTTCGCACTGACCAAAATGCAACATGACCACAGTTTTTGATGTATCCGGTTTCTGGCTCTTACTGAGTCTCGTCACTGTTTCAGTGGTGGTGGGGGCTAGTGAGCGGGAAACCAGGGTGCAGGGACATATTTGGAAGAAAAAAGTCTCTTTTTCCTGGCATCCTCCCTCCACCTTAGACACCCCTTGTTGGCCGGAGATGCACGTACGTCACCCTGTTCTAAGAGCTTTCTGGTCCTCTTCAGATTCTTTTGTTTTGTCGCTAGGTCAGATCATGGTTGGTGGCTTCTTCCAAAGAGTTGTCTTAATAATAGTCCCTTTAATGGACATGGTGAACGGGAATTCTCCTTCCTGACACCCATCTGTCTAAACCCATGTTATGGGTGGTATTTCCTACCAAAGTACACAGCCTACAACTCCCATCACCCCTAGCAACAAGGCCAGAGCTCAGGGATGATGGGAGTTGTAGTCCAACAACAGCTGGGGACCCACAGGTTGAGAACCGCTAGTTAGTGCCGGTGCATTTTTATTGTCTTATTTTGCATGGCTGATTGCAGCCATACAGGACGTGGGTGGTGCTATGCTGTAAACCACTGAGCCTTGGGCTTGCCGATCGGAAGGTCGGCGGTTCAAATCCCGCGATGGGGTGAGCTCCCATTGTTCGGTCCCAGCTCCTGCCAACCTAGCAGTTCGAAAGCACGTCAAAGTGCAAGTAGATAAATAGGTACCACTCCAGCGGGAAGGTAAACAGTGTTTCTGTGCGCTGCTCTGGTTCCGCCAGAAGCGGCTTAGTCATGCTGGCCACATGACCTGGAAAAAACTGTCTGTGGACAAACGTCGGTTTCTTCTGCCAGTAAAGCAAGATGAGCGCCACAACCCCAGAGTCGTTCGCAACTGGACTTAACTGTCAGGGGTCTTTTACCTTTACCTTTAATTGCAGCCATTATCTCTGTCTCCTTTTACTGCACTGTTTTCTGCAACTTGAGCAGGAGTGTTCAGGACCCAAAACAGTTGCTACTGCCCCTGCTTTTAAGGATTTATTAACTACTTCCCAAGCATAGTACCAACAGATCAGCTGCTGAAATAACTGAAGACAAGCGCCAAAGCAGTACTTCTCTTTGGGTGGGACTTTGCCTTGGTAATGACGTCTTAGGCAGGACTTGGAGTTGGTTGTGATTGAGGTGTCTTTTTTAGCCTAAGGTCACATCCCCCCCTGCATAATTGGCTGGGGGGGTTCACACCAGTGGTGGGAAGGCCAGAGGCAACAGGGGGCAGGAAAATGGGTGTGACACTCTTAATCTTTCATAGGCTACATTCCGCCCATTCAAAAGTTAGAGATTTACCCCCCCCCACACCATCCGGCAAGCAAGAGGCATTGAGGAGAGTAGGCGGATGAAGAACCCCAAGGCCTGTGATGCAGAGATACCTGGACAGACAACCACATTCCACTTCTTGGGCAGAAGTTCCCTACCCCGGTTCTAGAGGAAAAGTACATAATTTTGTGCAGAATTTAGATTCTTGGTGGTGGTGGGTTACCCACAACAGCTGTATATCCCATGGAGCTGGGAGCTATGTATGAAATACCTGCAGAAATCAGAGAAGAGGTGGAATGACAGTTCCAGGGCTTGGGGCATTTGGGTTCTATGCATTTTGCGCAAGTACCAAAACAAGAAATAGGCTTCCTTACCTACTTACCTGGGAGTAAAGTTTGTTGAACTTTATGGAACTCACTTCTGAGTACACAGACGTAGGCTTGCTGTTACGATTACGCCAAGTGACCCATTCCACTTTGCTTGGTGCAGCAGAATTTGAATTTTGTAGACCCAGAACTGACAGCACAAAAACAGGATTACCAGGAGATGCTAAACTGTTGGTTTCTAGCACTGTCACATTTTGCCCAAGTCATTTAAACAAACCACATTCCTAGGTAGGGCTGCAAAAAGGGGTGGGGGTGTTTTTAACGGGTGAGTAAAATAAGAAACTCGGAAGTAGGAATTCTCTGGAACTTTTGACAGCCTATTCTGTGTGTGACTTGCAATTTGTTTCTCCCTTCTGGTTCAGAGATGACACAATCAAATAGATCAATTTACCTGTTTAAGACATCTGCCATTCTGTTAATGGCATCTGCCTGGTCAGGGATCACTCCTCCCATCTGACTGGCACACACTTTGATATCCTTCCTGGTTCTGGAAGCCTCCCTTCGGTTTTTCTTGTCTCTCATAAGTCCACATGGTCTTGGAGGAACTGCTGACATTCTTCCAGATTTCTATTATGGGGTGGGAATACTTTACAAAGTTGTTTAATTAATCAATGCATTCCGACTTAATTAATCAATACATTCCGGCTTCCACTGGAACTTGGGCTTCACGGAACTCTTCTCCCCGTAGGAATAAAGAACACTATATCCCATGTGCGTCATGCTTTAGGGTTAGAGCTTGCACAATCCTGCTCATTTGCATCTGTGGCTGGTTATCTGCCATAGTCACCGGGCACCTCCACACTGCTGTTAGTTGCAAACTCTGGATAATATCTGATCAAACTGCTGCATGCTTGTACTATTACTATAGGCGGCAACCCTTTCATGCATGTTCAATTGACACGGGGCAGCTGATGTGCGGGTCATTTTAGACCTTAAAGAGGGAGTAATGGGTGGGTAGGGTGGGGTGGGCTTATGCGCACACAGGGGACAAACGCAATCCCTGTGCAAATCGTGGGTTGCCTGCACAGCAGCACAACCAGACATCAGCCTGCCCCAGCTGCAACAAAACATGTCTCTCCCATGTCAGTCTCTGTAGCCAAAGCAGGCACTGTAACTCTCCAGCGGTTTGACTTCACCCCCAAAGGCACACTCCTCCAAGGTCTCCCGAGACAGAGGCCAACAACTAATTACATTTATATCCCACCTTTCCACAAAGGAGCAAGGCTGGGGTGTCCATGGACGGGACTACCCTCCTTTATTCCTGCAACAACCCTATGAGATTTGTTAAGATGAGAGAACGTGATTGACTCAAATTCTCCAATTGCGCTGTTATAGAATAAACGAGCTCCTTTCCCCTTATGGGATATCCAAGAGTCCTAAAGTGGGTTCCCTATCGGTAGGAGGCCAACAGAGGCCAACCAGAGAATACTGAGAAGCAAAGCAGCTAGTAAACCTGATCTTTATTAAACTGTTGCAACAGGGTCTCCACTCACCACATGCAGGAGCATGGAGGAACCCAGAACAATGGTACGCAAGCCCTTTATATAGACTCTTGAAATTGCCCACCCTGTAGCTCAAGACCACTCCCTAAAGCATCCTACATACATCACAAAAGGAGGCGGGTCTACAGCAGAAATACATCACAGGAGGCTGTCTACAGCAGAAATCCTGATTGCCAAGGTATCTGTTAATGGTCACTGATTGCTTTATCTGGGCAGCCTGGCCATTCTTTTGTGATGGTAAATACTTTAATTCCTGAATCTGGGTCACAGGCTCACCCTATTCATACACAAATACATCCTTAAGACAGGTAAGCAAAATACAACGGGGAGGGTTTCCCATTTCCTTCCTCCTTGCAGAGAAATATTTGAGGTCAAAATGGTTTCAGGATTGCTCTCCTGTACTATTTCAGACACGCGGTTTATATACTTATGTATGTGTTTGCCTTGTACATTTATGAACGCTTATTTTATGTCCGGGACCTTAAAATTCTTATAACAGCGCTTTATGGCTGAAGCTGGGATTTGAATCCAGGTAGGTAAACGGGAAGGGACGCGGGTGGCGCTGTGGGTAAAACCTCAGCGCCTAGGACTTGCCGATCGCATGGTCGGCGGTTCGAATCCCCGCGGCGGGGTGCGCTCCCGTCGTTCGGTCCCAGCGCCTGCCAACCTAGCAGTTCGAAAGCACCCCCGGGTGCAAGTAGATAAATAGGGACCGCTTACCAGCGGGAAGGTAAACGGTGTTCCGTGTGCTGCGCTGGCTCGCCAGATGCAACTTGTCACGCTGACCACGTGACCCGGAAGTGTCTGCGGACAGCGCTGGCTCCTGGCCTATAGAGTGAGATGAGCGCACAAACCTAGAGTCTGACAAGACTGGCCCGTACGGGCAGGGGTACCTTTACCTTTAGGTAAACAGGACTTTTGCTTTTCTTCTTTTTCTTCATCAAGAAAGGAGCGAGGCTCTGTCCCCAAGAAAGACCACTGCCCTAAACAAGTTCACAATGCTCACCATTCTGCTCAGTCCTGGAGCATTCGAAGATAATTTCTCATCATATGTAAGGTTTCTCATCCTTGAGGAACCAGAGCTTAACACCCAAAACCTTTGTCTGGGCTGAGGCAGGACTTCTCCATCAGATATCCTGATTTCCAGGATATCTGATTTTCTTTAATATCTTTTTTAAAACTGGTACTTAAGGCAAAACCTAAGAAGCATGTGAAATCTAAGGCCTTTTTCTCAGACTGCACTGTACCCCTTCAAACTGCAAGAAGTGGCTGACCTGACTGAATTCTGTGTTTTAGAAAACCCACGTAGTAAATGAATATATCAGGTACGATGGAACTCCAGTGCTCTGTGCTAAGGGCTTTTAAAAAATGTTTGTAAGGTGAAACATTCAGTTGTGTGAAACCACACCCTCCTTCTGAATTAATATAGCCCAGTCAAGGGTTGACCACCTCAGTGAACACTAGGCCTTATCATTTCCCACCCCCACTGTTTGCAATCTCTATTTAGCTTGTTCAGTTATTTATCCAAAATATTTATTAGCCACCTTTAAGGGTTTTTTAAAAAAACACCCCACCCCTCCCATGGCAGCTTCTATATTAAAAGAATGAAACGCATTACCAGAAATCATCCAGAGGCTGATTAAAAACAGCCCCCAAATTAAAATTAGAAAAACATTATTATTTTTAGTTTATTAAAATGCTGTATGTTACGCTTGGCATTCTCCAAAACAAAAACAAGCAAAACGGCAATCCCTGCCCACGGGTGGCAATCTTAACAATATTTTAAATATGTATATCGCACACCCCACCGCACTGCTTGCAAACAAGCTCTTGGCTGCAATCGGAGCCATGCCTTCCCTATGGGTCTTTAATTTAATCCCCCCCCCCCCCGACTGAAGTGTATCTGGCATTCTCTCCCTTTGGCAGGGGCTGTTTATTTGTCACACGTTAAGGCAGAGCATATTATTTCAGTTGACGAGTGACTCCCTCCAGTCTAGACGGGTTTGTTTCGCTGAGCCTTCAAGGCTGTCTGCGGCCAGTTGGCGGAGAAGGACAAACAGACAAGGAACCATTTGCAAAAGCCTCTGGGAGGCCAAGACGCAAATTTTCACCCTGGGATGTTCTTGCTAGCGAACATATGAATTCAGTTAGCTCCGTTTCCTGGATCTCCTGTAGTTGTGATGCTATTATTATTATTTATTACTATTTATTAAATGTATGCACTGTCCTTCGTGCGAAGGTCTCTGGGCAGTTCATAACACGGTAAGTTGGTGGGATGGGGGCAAAGAGGTCATTGATCAATGATGCCATCTGCGCACTAACCTGCCCCAGTGCACCCCTTTGCCTGAACTGAAATAAACAGGGCAACCAATGGGGATTCCTTTGCATCCTTGCAATGCGGTGCTGGGGCTGTCAAGGTAACCCAATGGATCCTTAGCTACTTCCCTCACTGTAGTAATAATAATAATAATAATAATAATAATAATAATAATATAATTTTTTTTTATTTATACCCTGCCCATCTGGCTGGGTTTCCCCAGCCACTCTGGGCGGCTTCCAACCAAACACTAAAATACAATAACCTATTAAACATTAAAAGCTTCCCTAAACAGGGCTGCCTTCAGATGTCTTCTAAAAGTTTGGTAGTTATTTTTCTCTTTGACATCTGGTGGGAGGGCATTCCACAGGGTGGGTGCCACTACCGAGAAGGCTCTCTGCCTGGTTCCCTGTAATTTGGCTTCTCGTAGTGAGGGAACCGCCAGAAGGCCCTCAGTGCTGGACCTCAAGTGTCCGGGCGGAACGATGGAGGTGGAGACGCTCCTTCAGGTATACTGGAACGAGGCCGTTTAGGGCTTTAAAGGCCAGCACCAACACTTTGAATTGTGCTCGGAAACATACTGGGAGCCAGTGTAGGTCTTTCAAGACTGGTGTTATATGGTCTCGGCGGCTGCTCCCAGTCACCAGTCTAGCTGCTGCATTCTGGATTAGTTGTAGTTTCCGGGTCACCTTCAAAGGTAGCCCCACATAGAGCACATTGCAGTAGTCCAAGCGGGAGATAACTAGAGCATGCACCACTCTGGCGAGACAGTCTGCGGGCAGGTAGGTTCTCAGCCTGCGTACCAGATGGAGCTGGTAAACAGCTGCCCTGGACACAGAATTGACCTGCGCCTCCATGGATAGCTGTGAGTCCAGAATGACTCCCAGGCTGCGCACCTGGTCCTTCAGGGGCACAGTTACCCCATTCAGGACCAGTGAGTCCTCCACACCCGCCCACCTCCTGTCCCCCAAGAATAGTACTTCTGTCTTGTCAGGATTCAACCTCAATCTGTTAGCCACCATCCATCCTCCAACCGCCTGCAACCGTGATGTCATTGTCATTGTGATGTCATTGGCAGGGTTGCAGGAGGCTGGGGCGATGGAAGGAGAAAGAGATCATGGGATGGTTGTGCATCTAATGGGGTGGCTTAATTGTCTAAAGCACACTTAAAACACACTGTGTGTGTGTGTCTAACTGGAGTTTGAGTATCAGTGGACTAGATGGAGGGAACTTATTTCTGTCCCCCCCAAAAGAAATCACCTTCCTACTTTCAGCTCTGAGCTCACCCACCACTAGAAAGCAGCTTCCAGAAGATTATCCATATGGAATGTGACTGGGGGGTGGGGGTGGGGGGAAGGTTCCCTACCCCTCCATAAGGGAAATGCTGCCTGACCCCAGGGAAAATGGGGCGATTACCTGCAGCCCCATTCTATCCATGTGGTCAGTAGGGCTCACTCACTAGTAAAAAGTTAAAGGGACCCCTGACCGTTAGGTCCAGTCGTGACCGACTCTGGGGTTGCGGCGCTCATCTCGCTTTATTGGCCGAGGGAGCCGGCGTTTGTCCGCAGACAGCTTCCGGGTCATGTGGCCAGTATGACTAAGCTGCTTCTGGAGAACCAGAGCAGCGCACAGAAACACTGTTTACCTTCCCGCCGGAGCGGTACCTATTTATCTACTTGCACTTTGAGGTGCTTTCAAACTGCTAGGTTGGCAGGAGCAGGGACCGAGCAACGGGAGCTCACCCCGTCGCGGGGATTCGAACCACCGACCTTCTGATCGGCAAGCCCTAGGCTCTGTGGTTTAGAAATTGACTTTAATATTGCAGTCCTAATGTAAAACCAGCAAGCCCATTGTGTGTGTGTGTGTGTTTTGGTTTGTAATACAAAGTGTGCTGGAACACAAGCTTTTAATGTAGAAACCCCTTGCTTCCAGTTCAGACAGAACATCCCCACCACACACACACACACACCCTTTTTGCAGCTAAAGGAAGGAAAGAGGGACCACACCTTTAAACCTGACCCACACCAAAAAACCTTGCAATAGGTTTCCAGAAAATTCTATCATTCCCTTTGGGGCTGGCAAGGAATTTTAAAAAATGAAACTCAGCTACCGTATTTTTCGCTCTATAAGACGCACCAGACCACTAGACGCACCTAGTTTTTGGAGGAGGAAAACAAGAAAAAAAAATATTCTGAATCTCAGAAGCCAGAACAGCAAGAGGGATAGCTGCGCAGTGAAAGCAGCAATCCCTCTTGCTGTTCTGGCTTCTGGGATAGCTGCGCAGCCTGCCTTCGCTCCATAAGACGCACACACATTTCCCCTTACTTTTTAGGAGGGAAAAAGTGAGTCTTATAGAGCAAAAAATACGGTAATTAGAATGGCTGCCATCAATCAAGATAACCCCAACCCTGAATTGCTTATCCTGTGCTAGGGTTCCGAGGAGGAGGCAAGTTTCATTGAAAAATCGCCAAGATCCTTTCTTCATTAGCTCTTTTCTAATCCTCCCATTTCTCCACACCCTTGTGCCCATCTAGCGCTTTTAAAGCTCTATTATTACTCAGCATTTCAGCAACTAGTTAAGTGAATAGATTGGATTCTAATGGTTACAAAGAAAAGACCATTAGATTCTAATGGTTGAAAAAAGACAAAGAAATCTGAGGAAGTCTGCATGCTGTGTTAAGCAGCTGCATCGCCTCCTGCCTCAGATCCCTCCTCACATTTCATCTTTTCCACGGAACCTTTGATTTTAGCCCTAATCCTCATCTCCAGATGCAGCCAAGTTTCAGTGCATCACAAAATGGCATCTGCTCACTTTCATTCAGTGCTAGCCCTATCTCTGAGTCTCACCCACTGCCAGCATTGGTACTGTAAGCTCCTTGAGGGCAGAGACTCTTCTTTTTGTACTGAACGCATTAAGGCATGGTGCCTATTGATTGTGCTGCCTGTACAAATTAGTGAAGCTTTTTGCAGCATGGAGAGGTAATGTGTGGGGGGGGGGGGTGAGCGTTACCTGCTGAATATCTGCCTGTCACACAGCTGTCAACGTCATGTATTTGTACTCAATAAACTGCATCCTGCAGCAAAGCCCACAGAATAGGATGGACAATCACAAATAACTTTAATACATAAGAGGGTTATGGAGTAAAAGACCACTTCAGACTGCAGCTTGCAAGGCAAAACTGAAAGCACAGTACCCAAGACCTAACATTCTGATACGGCAAGCCAGGAGGGCCAATACACAACACAATCCAAGCTGCTTGGAATTTCTCCTGTCCCTTATGGCTGAAAACAGCTTTTAATTTGTTTTTGTGGCCGGAAGGCTAAAGTGAAAATTGTTCTGGCTTAATTAATTCCAAATATAAGGATGCTTTCTGCTCCTATGCTTTTATACACATAAAAGCATTCACTCATTTGCATAAAAATAGCATCCTAGTATAGTTGCCACTTAGAATCATTGACCATCTCTACACTTGTTGATGGGAGGTGGGGAAGTTTGCTCTTTCAAGTAGCTCTTTAGCTACTCTTCCCCAACTTGGTGCTCTTGGGATGTTGTTGTTGTTTAGTCCAGAGCATGCCAGGCACTCCTGTCTTCCACTGCCTCCCGCAGTTTGGTCAAACTCATGCTGGTAGCTTCGAGAACACTATCCAACCATCTCGTCCTCTGTCCTCCCCTTCTCCTTGTGCCCTCCATCTTTCCCAACATCAGGGTCTTTTCCAGGAGTCTTCTCTTCTCATGAGGTGGCCAAAGTACTGGAGCCTCAGCTTCAGGATCTGTCCTTCCAGTGAGCACTCAGGGCTGATTTTCTTCAGAATGGATAGGTTTGATCTTCTTGCAGTCCATGGGACTCTCAAGAGTCTCCTCCAGCACCATAATTCAAAAGCATCAATTCTTCAGCAATCAGCCTTCTTTATGGTCCAGCTCTCACTTCCATACATCACTACTGGGAAAACCATAGCTTTAACTATACGGACCTTTGTTGGCAAGGTGATGTCTCTGCTTTTTAAGATTTGCCATCGCTTTTCTCCCAAGAAGCAGGCATCTTTTAATTTCGTGGCTGCTGTCACCATCTGCAGTGATCATGGAGCCCAAGAAGGTAAAATCTCTCACTGCCTTCATTTCTTCCCCTTCTGTTTGCCAGGAGGTGATGGGACCAGTGACCAAGATCTTCGTTTTTTTGATGTTGAACTTCAGATGTTGGGATGTTGCTGGACTACAATTCTCATCAGCCCCACGGTCAGGGATGATGAGAGCTATAGTCCAAAACCTTGCAGCCTTTCTAAACCTGTGGGTCCCCAGATGTTGTTGAACTACAACTCCCATCACCCCTAGCTAGCAAGGCCAGACCTCAGGGATGATGGGAGTTGTAGTCCAACAACATCTGGGGACCCACAGGTTGAGAACAGCTGCTCCAGAGGGTGCCAGGTTAGCACAACTATAGTAGAGTTTCCAAATGACCGGGGGGGGGGGGGGGGACAAGCCGGGCTGGCACATGATACTTCTTTTTTGCATCCATGGATATAATATTTAGCTACCAGCTAAAGATAACATTTCATGCTTCCGATAACACAGGCTCTTGTCTCCAAAAGCTTATGCCATAAATAAAATCTGATAATCTTTAAGATACCACATGACCGGCTGTTGTTTAAGCTTGATCTCCAGAAATCAATAGGGAGCATGCAAATAAGCATTATTGTCTACTTATGCCTGCAGTTGGAGGCACAGAAGCAGGGTGTTGTTAAAAAATGAAAAGTTGGCTAATGGGGGGGGGGAGGTTTTCTCAATATTCAGCTCTACTCTTTAGCTGGACTTGTAACAAGCAGCTTGATCTGAAGGAATTCTTGCCATGAGAAGCTTCTTCATCTGCCAATCCCTGCACATTAATGTGCGGATTCCTGCACATTAAAGGTAAAAGGTAAAGGGACCCCTGACCATTAGGTCCAGTCGTGGCCGACTCTGGGGTTGCGGCGATCATCTCGCTTTACTGGCCGAGGGAGCCGGCGTACAGCTTCCAGGTCATGTGACCAGCATGACTAAGCCGCTTCTGGAGAACCAGAGCAGCGCACAGAAACGCCCTTTACCTTCCCGCCAGAGCGGTACCTATTTATCTACTTGCAATTTGACATGCTTTCGAACTGCAGGAGCAGGGAGCTCACCCCGTCGCGGGGATTTGAACCGCGGACCTTCCGATCGGCAAGTCCTAGGCTCTGTGGTTTAACCCACAGCGCCACACGCATCCCTCCTGCACATTAAGCCACTGTTAAAAGCAGAGCGGCAGAGTTCAGTTGAAAAGCTGGCAACCCCATCTTCCAACTCTACAGTTCCATGATTCTATGACTCTGTTTGGTTCCCAGTTTCTCTATTCTGAACCACTCCCACCATGATGGATTGTCTTTTTAGGTGCTGAGATTCAAGCCTGCTTAAGCTTCACCAATTCCCCCCGCCACTGCCCTCCATCGCCTTTATAAAAGCCGCTTAACAGGTGGGAAGAATAGCAAGTAGAGCTTTTCCAGTCATCACGCCAAGAAAAGCATCACCTGATGAATTTCTGCTTATTAAAAGATGCAGGAGCTTTGCCAGAGGAGTAGAAGGAGGGGATGGATGGAAATGCTTAGCCTTATACTCCTTCCATGTCCTCGATGTAAGACAGAACTGGCTAAGCGGTGTGTGTGTGGGGGTGCACTCTGCACGTTCTCAGATGCATGCTTTATTGCACTTATTCAAGGGCTCAGTCTTGGTATTCCAAAACCACAAACCTGGCACTTCACAGGGTGCCTCCCCTTGCTCCTTCATAGTTAGCATGTAAGGAGCAATCTCAAGGCCTCTGTGACACCCACATCTCTTTCCCCCTCACCCACCCAGAATGCTCGGAAGCATCCCAACCGGAGCATGTTGCGCCACATCGGTGGAGCAGCAGTGCCACCTTCTGTTCACTGATATAACTGCAGGTCATCTTTTGACATGTTCACCATATACTGTAGCATGTTCACCGTTCATGTCCTTGAGGTTGAAACATGTATTCTTTGTCCATCCTGAAAAGCAGTGTTCTCTCTCTCTCTCTCTGTCTGTCTCTCTCTCTGTCTCTCTGTGTCTCTCTCTCTCTCTCTCAAAATCCGGCATGTTGAACCAGAAGTAAATTGCGTTTTGTTCTGTGGGGTTCTGGGGACACGGGTGGCGCTGTGGGTTAAACCACAGAGCCTAGGACTTGCCGATCAGAAGGTCAGCGCTTCAAATCCCTGCGACGGGGTGAGCTCCCGTTATTCGGTCCGTCCCTGCTCCTGCCAACCTAGCAGTTTGAAAGCACGTCAAAGTGCAAGTAGATAAATAGGTACCGCTCCGGAGGGAAGGTAAACGGCGTTTCCGTGCGCTGCTCTGGTTCGCCAGAAGCGGCTTAGTCATGCTGGCCACATGACCTGGAAGCTGTGCGCCAGCTCCCTCGGCCAATAAAGCGAGATGAGCGCCACAACCCCAGAGTCGGTCACGACTGGACCTAATGGCCAGGGGTCCCTTTACCTTTACCTTTACCTGTACTGTGGGGTTAACTCCCAAATATTGTATGCACAGAACTGTAACAGTAGAAACAAGTTGGTGTTTTTTTGGGTTTTTTTTACAAACTGGAGGGAGAAGATGAGTGAACCTTAGCATCCCAGTGAGTGAGAAAGCATATTTTGCTTTGTTCTACAAACTACAGGACAGATTGAAGGAAAAGTCTGTCCCCTGCCTTCTTAAATATCCCCAGACGCCTGCCATGCTCAGCTTATTGGATACTTGTAGTTACCTGGGTTTTCATAATCTTTCTCAATTCCTAAATAACAACAGCTTTTACAGAGGATTTTTCTTCAGTGCACTAACTGGACAGTTGTTGCAGCAGAGGATCTAAATATATTTCCTTTTGACAGGGCTTCTGATAAGGAGATAATGGCATTCCCCCAGAACTCAATATGGGCAATATTTTTGGGGTGATGCAGATGGGTAGGTTGGGAAGAGAAAGGATCTCCCAGCTAGCATGTTGGTTACTGCCAGCATAGGCCAGGATGCATATTTGGAAATTGTTGTGTGTACAAAAAAATACCCATTTCACAGAAGGGTGCAAAGCACTTTCACTCCCCCCAAAATAAAAATAAAACACAGACCCTCCTACCACAAACAGACAAATATTCCAACCAGAAAAAAAGTGTTTAAAATATTTTAAAATATGAGGGAACTGAGGGCACCATGGTGCCACACTGGTGACCCCAGTACTACAGTGATAACTTGGGTTAAGAACTTAATTCGTTCTGGAGGTCTGTTCTTAAGCTGAAACTGTTCTTAACCTGAAGCACCACTTTAGCTAATGGGGCCTCCCACTGCCGCTGTGCAATTTCTGTTCCCATCCTGAAGCGTCTGTAACCTGAAGTGTCTGTAACCCGAGGTACCACTGCACTCAGAAGAGGAAGGTATCAGCAGACTATTTTGCTGGTGGGACTATCCAGTTGCTTACAGGCAAATTCAGCTTGCGTAATTAATGTGGATTCAAGTACCGTATTTTTTGCTCTGTAAGACTCACTTTTTCCCTCCTAAAAAGTAAGGGGAAATGTGTGTGCGTCTTATGGAGCGAATGCAGGCTGCACAGCTATCCCAGAAGCCAGAACAGCAAGAGGGATTGCTGCTTTCACTGCGTAGCGATCCCTCTTGCTGTTCTGGCTTCTGAGATTCAGAACATTTCTTTTCTTGTTTTCCTCCTCCAAAAACTCGGTGCGTCTTGTGGTCTGGTGCATCTTATGGAGCGAAAAATACGGGTACTTGTGCAGCAACACCGCTAACAGAGAACTTTGTGATAAGGAAAGTGGTACTGGAAGTCCACTCATAGGATCTCCCTGCAAACCAACCATCAATATGCAGCTGGAAAGTTGTAAAATGGGATGGGGAACAGGTTGGCCGTCCTGCTGTGGTTGAACTACACCTCCCGTCATCTCTAACCACTGGTCATGCTGGCTGGGGCTGATGGGAGTTGGAGTCCAATAACAACTGGAGGTCACAGCTCCCCCCCTCATCCCACCCCTGTTGTTTAATCTTCCTGCAAACTTTGTACAAACGAATCAGGATGGCTGTTCTTTAAAGAGCTTGTCTTGAATCAACTTTTGCAGCCACAACATTGTTAGAATCTTTCCCCCCACCCCATAACTCATTTGTTTAATATCTAGCCTGAAGAAGAGTTCTGGAGAACTCAAAATATTGCTCACTGTTTTGTAAGGAGTGGAGGGGGGGAGGTGAGCTGAAAACCCAGAAATGTGTAAAAATAATATTTTAATGTACCAACGCTTTTTGAAGACACGCTTCTTTAAGGGCACTTAGCTAGGGAATGTCTTATTACAATGTCTTCTGTTGCAAAATGAATCAGAGCATGACATAGGGCACAATCCAACTTTGGAGTCCTAAGCACACTTACTAGACAGTAAGTCCTATTGAACTCAGTGGGACGAACATCTGTGAATATACAAGCCTTAGTAGGGTTGCACTGTAAGTGCCTAACTTTGGAAGATTATCTGGTCCATTAACGGTGCAATCCTATACCTGCCCATTGAGATTAACTGGAGCTTACTCCAAAGTATCTGGTTATAGGACAGCACTCTAAATGCTTGTTTTTATGTACCTTTGAGATTCCATCTCTCCTCTTTCTCTATTCTGTGACCTTTGGATTGGTACTAATAAAAGTATTGACTAACTGTCATTTTTTTCTAATGGAGCAATGTAAGTTCCTGCGCTTTTTTTTTTTTTTAACAGATGTTCCAACAGTCCTTATATTTACTAGGTTTGTTCCCTAATTATAGGTCTTAAATCTCCAGTAAATCACTGCACACACAACCATTTCTTTTCGTCCCTTGGCTATGTCTTGTTAAAATGTTGTTAGAGTTGTGATAGGAATTTTGATGTCTTAGATATATGGTAATGTTCATAAGCGTACCAACCAAGCACGTGCATAGATCAGCACAGGAAGACTGACCTGGAACCATTTTGACTCCGAAACAGAGCAAATGTTTTCTCTGCAAGGTCAAAGTGGGAAACCTCCCCATTGTCTCTTTCCTTACAAATCCTGTCTAAAGTGCACATTTAAGATATGAATAGGGTGTGAGCCTGTGACCTGGCCCAGGAACTAAGTATTCATCACTACAAAAGAATGGCCAGGCTCCCCAGGCAGTCCAATCAAGTAACCTGCCAGACAGGATATAAACAACCACAGGAGAAAAACAACATTCAAATTTCTGTTTTAGACCACCTTTTCTGTGATGTATGTATGATGTTTCTGGGGATGGTCTTGATCTACAAGGTGGCAATTTCAAAAGTCTTTATAAGGCCATGCGCGCCATTTTTCTGGGTCCCTCCTCTCTCCTGTGGGTGAGGGGAGCACCCTGTTGCAACAGATCAATAAAGATCAAGCTTACTAGCTGCTTTGCTTCTCAATATTCTCTGGTTGGCCTCTGTTATTCTCTCCTACCAATAGGTACCAAGGACTCTATATGGGCTCTTGGATACCCCATAAGGAAAAAGGGCAATTTTTGTTTACAACAGAGTGAACTCCGAAAGTTGTCATTCCTCAGCATTTTTCTCCCCAGTGGTCTGTAGAAGTTAGCATATGCCTGATCGGATAGCAGATGTCTCTTTCTGGCATGCATATCCATATGAATGCATGCACATTAACAGTAAGGTGCAATGTGGACACTTACGCATGACCAAAGGGCTGTGGCTCAATGACAGAGCATGCACAAGGTTCAATTCCTGGCATCTCCAGGTTTCAGGAAGGAGTTTCTTCCAGCCATATTTGCTGTTGCAGGAATTTATGTATAGGTTGGGGTGTGTGTGTTGCCCCTCCAGCAGATATCATGCACATGCAGCCAACTACCAAAATCAGCACCATCACTTTTGTGACTTTTGTGATTTGTCCCCACAAAACACTTCACCACAGTTTCTTCCTATCTATTCAAAGGGCCTCTGCTGCACAATACTGAAATAAAAAAGTTAAAGTCATATATATATATATTTGTTGTTGTTGTTGTTTAGTCATTTAGTCGTGCCCGACTCTTCGCGACCCCATGAACCAGAGCACGCCAGGCACTCCTGTCTTTCACTGCCTCCTGCAGTTTGGTCAAACTCATGCTGGTAGCTTTGAGAACACTGTCCAACCATCTCGTCCTCTGTCCTCCCCTTCTCCTTGTGCCCTCTATCTTTCCCAACATCAGGGTCTTTTCCAGGGAGTCTTCTCTTCTCATGAGGTGGCCAAAGTACTGGAGTCTCAGCTTCAGGATCTGTCCTTCCAGTGAGCACTCAGGGCTGATTTCCTTCAGAATGGAGAGGTTTGATCTTCTTGCAGTCCACGGGACTCTCAAGAGTCTCCTCCAACACCATAATTCAAAAGCATCAATTCTTCGGTGATCAGCCTTGTTTATGGTCCAGCTCTCACTTCCATACATCACTACTGGGAAAACCATAGCTTTAACTATACGGACCTTTGTTGCCAAGGTGATTATATATATATATATATAATGTTCGTAACTGCATATATAAACCACATTTCTGAAACCCCACAGAAAAAGTCCTGAAACCATTTTGTCCCTCTCAAATTGACCTCAAATATTTCTCTGCAAGGTTGAAGGAAAATGGAAAAGCCTCCCCATTGTCTTTTTGTTCACAAATCCTGTCTTAAGGGTATGTCTGTGTATGAATAGGGTGAGCCTGTGACCTGGCTCAGGAACTAAGTATTTGTTATTACAAAAGACTGGCCAGGCTCCCCAGGGTATCCAATCAAGTGACCATTAACAGGTCTGTCAGACAGGAGGTAAACAACACACTCATATTTCTGTTGTAGACCGCCCTTTCTGTGATGTAGGTATGATGTATCTGGGGAGTGGTCTTGAGCTACACCCCTTTCTGTGATGTATGTATGATGTTTCTGGGGGTGGTCTTGGACTCCAGAGCAAGCAATTTAAAATGTCTATATAAGGGCAGGCACACCTTGGTTCTGGGTCCTCCTCCTTTCCTGCCTGTGAGGGGAGCACCCCGTTGCAACGGTTCAATAAAGATCAGGTTTACAAGCTGCTTTGCTTCTCAATATTCTCTGGTTGGCCTCTGTTATTTTCTCCGACCGATGGAGAACCTACAAAGGACTCTATAAGGGCTCTTGTGTTCCCCATAAGGTAATAAGGGCAGATTTTTGTTTATTACAATACCAAATGTAACAATTCACTGATAACAAAATAAATAAATCAAATCAAATCAAATCAAATCAAATCAATCAATCAATCAATCAATCAATCCTTCCGGTAGCACCTTAGAGACCAACTAAGTTAGTTATTGGTATGAGCTTTTGTGTGCATGCACACTTCTTCAGATACTTCTTTTTGTGTGCATGCACATGAAAGCTCATACCAATAACTAACCAATAACTAACTTAGTTGGTCTCTAAGGTGCTACTGGAAGGAATTTATTTTATTTTATTTTATTTATTTTGTTTTGTTTCGACTACGGCAGACCAACACGGCTACCTACCTGTAACTTAAACAATTCACTGATAAATGTATCTATGTACTGGCTCACTGGGAAAACTTCAGAAATTCATAGAGACATGTGAGCTCAGCAAACTTTTTCAGCAGGAGGCCAGTCAGTACTGTCCCTCAGACATTTAAGGAGACTTCATTCTGATTTGTTTGCTGTGAGGCTGCATAACTGTTGCATCAAAGCAAGTGTTTATTCCATGTTTTCCAGTGCACGGTCCCATCAGTTTCCCTATTGCAAGAGGCCTGATCTTTTGGATGAACGGGTTGGCTGTGCCAGAGCTCCCAATCACCTATAATGACACAACCTGAATATACCAGTGTGTGATTAAATCTCACATGAAAAGAGCAACAGTCTGGAAGCCCCTGGTTTCTTTTTACACCAATGACACCGGCATAGGAAGTGTCTGAGTGATCAAGACATGCACACGTTGCTCATTTGAGAACGGGAATCAGCCAGGCTAAGCACTGATATGGGGAGTAGTGACTAGGCAAACTCCTCCAGACTTATGGTTATGAAGGCCCACATATTATATAAATTAAAATTGGAGGTACACTTCATTCTCGTAGCACTAAAAACTTGCTTTTAGCACGTGACAAAAAACCAGAACTGCCCCCGACCTTCAAATCAGCACTGCATTTTCTGTTTGAGTCACTTGCACCCATGTCTCCTCCAAGGGCAGGTCATTCTGCTGATTTAGAATCATAGAATCATAGAGTTGGAAGAGACCACAAGGGCCATCGAGTCCAACCCCCTGCCAAGCAGGAAACACCATCAGAGCACTCCTGACATATGGTTGTCAAGCCTCTGCTTAAAGACCTCCAAAGAAGGAGACTCCACCACACTCCTTGGCAGCAAATTCCACTGTCGAACAGCTCTTACTGTCAGGAAGTTCTTCCTAATGTTTAGGTGGAATCTTCTTTCTTGTAGTTTGGATCCATTGCTCCGTGTCCGCTTCTCTGGAGCAGCAGAAAACAACCTTTCTCCCTCCTCTATGTGACATCCTTTTATATATTTGAACATGGCTATCATATCACCCCTTAACCTCCTCTTCTCCAGGCTAAACATGCCCAGCTCCCTTAGCCGTTCCTCATAAGGCATCGTTTCCAGGCCTTTGACCATTTTGGTTGCCCTCCTCTGGACACGTTCCAGTTTGTCAGTGTCCTTCTTGAACTGTGGTGCCCAGAACTGGACACAGTACTCCAGGAGAGGTCTGACCAGAGCAGAATACAGTGGCACTATTACTTCCCTTGATCTAGATGCTATACTCCTATTGATGCAGCCCAGAATTGCATTGGCTTTTTTAGCTGTCGCGTCACACTGTTGGCTCATGTCAAGTTTGAGGAGCGTGTGGCTGATTCAATCACTTCAGATACAGCAGAACGACTTCCCTTTAGATAAGAGACTCGTGCAGAGATGCAGCAGGGAGACTCTTCTGTAGGTGGCTATTTTGGGGCACTGAGGTCCAGCGCCGAGGGCCTTCTGGCGGTTCCCTCACTGCGAAAAGCCAAGTTACAGGGAACTAGACAGAGGGCCTTCTTGGTAGTGGCACCCTCCCTGTGAAACGCCCTCCCACCAGATGTCAAAGAGAAAAATAACTACCAGACTTTTAGAAGACATCTGAAGGCAGCCCTGTCTAGGGAGGCTTTTAATGTTTGGCGGACTACTGTATTTTAATATTTTGTTGGAAGCCGCCCAGAGTGGCCGGGGAAGCCCAGCCAGATGGGCGGGGTATAAATAATAAATTATTATTATTATTTAATCATGCAATTAATTTGACTCTGGTGGCCTACCTTTTGGGAATCACTGGGCTAGAGTGCCTTGCTTGTCGTGGGTCTAAATCGGTTCCCCCGGCCACAAAATATGTGCAAGGCATTATCTACCCGCCTGGGGGATTCAGAACCCAGTGCATAGTTTCAGCTGGACTCAAGGGATGGGCATGTTGCTGCAGCAGTATGACTGCCATAAAATTAGCCTGTGAAAGAGGAGACTGAGAGGAGATACGAAGCCATCTTCAAATATCTCAAGGACTGTTGCATAGAACAGGGAACAAGCTTGTTTTCTTCTGCTCTGGCGGCTGGGACATGAACCAATGGCTTCAAGTTACAAGGAAGGAGATTCAGACTAAACAGACAGAAAAACTTCCTGACAGTAAGAGCTGTTTGACAGTGGAACAGTCTCCCTCGGGAAGCTGTGGACTCTCCTTCCTTGGATGTATTTAAGCAGAGGTTGGATGACCATCTGAGCTGAGATTCCTGCACTGCAGGGGGTTGGACTAGATGACCCTGGGTGTCCCTTCCCAACTCTACAATTCTGTAATAAAATAGTCATAGGGTGGTCACACAAAAGAAGGGAAACTCTTCTTTGCCCCATAGAACAGGATTAAATCTTGGGTGCTTCCAGGTGGGTGTCAGTTGTGGGATAGATATTCCTTATGCAATTATTATTATTATTATTATTATTATTATTACTGAAAAGAAACAGTGTCCACACAATGCTGCTGGCATCAAAATGCCAGCCTGTCCTCCCCTGATTTAATCCAATGTCAAAACATGCACACACCATTGCCAATAGCCATGTGCTATTTTAAAAACCCATTTGCAGATTAAGCCCCCATCAATGGTCTTTAAGTGACAGGAGGGCAGACTTCAGCTGCACATTAGGAGCAAAAACGTCATGGTATATGCGGTTAAATAAAGGAAGCAGTTACTTTGAGGGACAGTGGGTCACAACAATCCACAGGGGATAATCCTTGACAGGTGCCATAAGAACAGCTCTGTGGGATCAGTCCAAGGGCTGCGGGTAGCGCTGTGGTCTAAACCACTGAGCCTCTTGGGCTTGCCAATCAGAAGGTCAGCAGTTTGTATCTGCATGACGGAGTGAGCTCCTGTTGTTCTGTCCCGGCTCCTGCCAACCTAGCAGTCTGAAAGCACACTAGTGCAAGTAGATAAATAGGTACCACTGTGGCAGGAAGATAAGCGGTGTTTCTGTGCGCTCACGTTGCCCTGTTGCCCCGTTGCACCAAATACGGTTTAGTCATGCTGGCCACATGACCTAGAAAGCTGTCTGTGGACAAACACCGGCTCCCTCGGCATGAAAGTGAGATGAGTGCCGTAACCCCATAGTCACCTTTGACTGAACTTAACCGTCCAGGGGTCCTTTACCTTTAACCTATGGGGGGGGGTCCATCTAGTCCAGCATCCTGTTCTCACAGTGGCCAATCAAATGTTTCTATGGGAAACCCAAAATTAGGACCAGAGCAAAGCAAAACTCTCCCCCCCACCACCAATTTTGATTCCCAGCTAGTGGTACTCTACTGCTCCCATGTGTTTCTGCCTCTCCAAAGGTGAATCCTTACAGGTATAGAGAAATGTGTCTCGGACCAGAGTTTCAAATGGGGAACATCCCCAGTTATACCTGGAGATTCCAGGGACTGAATTTGCGAACTCCTGCAGTAAGGCCAACTTAATTCACGGAGACTCATTTTCCAAGGAGGTTTGCATAGGGTTACAGCACCAGCCATCACTGTGTGGTCCACAGCTGTATCCTGTTAACAAACTAAACACACAGAGATGCCCTTCTTTTTGCAAGCTGGTTGCTACTCTGCCTTTCACCAGGAGATGGCAGCCGAATATCCCAAAAAAGGTACAGTACTGGGCAGCCTTAATTTATCATATGGAATAGATCCCCTTTTCCTGCTGAAATCCCCAGCCCTTTGATATAAATGCTTCCTGGGACTCCCTGTATTGTTGAGTTTCTCTGCTCCTTTCAGACTTAGTCCCAAAAGCACATCAGATCAGAAGAAGAAGAGTAGTAGTTTGGATTTGATATCCCGCCTTTCACTCCCTTTAAGGAGTCTCAAAGCGGCTAACATCCTCCTTTCCCTTCCTCCCCCACAACAAACACTCTGTGAGGTGAGTGAGGCTGAGAGACTTCAAAGAAGTGTGACTGGCCCGAGGTCACCCAGCAGCTGCATGTGGAGGAGCGGAGACGCGAACCCGGTTCCCCAGATTACGAGTCCACCGCTCTGAACCACTACACCACACTGGCTCTCAGATCAGAGCTGTAAGGGTTCCATAAAATGTCAACAGGCTACCCAGAGATAAGTAGAGTACTAGTTTCTATCAGCAGAGGGCAAGCAAAAAATATGTCAGGCTTTCAAGTGTAGCTTTCTCTACTCCTGAAAAGAGGAAGAAAGGAAAGAGGCAGGTCAGTTTTCATGGATTACTAGCTCATCCCGGCAGCAGGGCTCCTGTACAACAGGCAGAAATTCAACAGGGACAGCTTCCTGATCACTGCTTCCCCTGGTTGGAAAATAGGTAAAGGTAAAGGGACCCCTGACCATCAGGTCCAGTCGTGGCCGACTCTGGGGTTGTGGTGCTCATCTCGCTTTATTGGCCAAGGGAGCCGGTGTACAGCTTCCGGGTCATGTGGCCAGCATGACTAAGCCGCTTCTGGCGAACCAGAGCAGCGCACGGAAACGCCGTTTACCTTCCCGCTGGAGCGGTACCTATTTATCTACTTGCACTTTGATGTGCTTTTGAACTGCTAGGTTGGCAGGAGCAGGGACCGAGCAACGGGAGCTCACCCCGTCGCGGGGATTCGAACCGCCAACCTTCTGATCGGCAAGTTCTAGGCTCTGTGGTTTAGCCCACAGCGCCACCCACATCCCAGATGGAAAATATTTGCCTGCAAATTTCAGTGGTAGAGCATCTACCCTCTGAACGCCCTTTTGGGTGCAAAAATGGCATTGGGGTGTGGAGTTTGTTCCCACCCACTTTGCGGGTGTCAGAAATATGGCAACCCTAATCGCTCAGTGATAAAGGGGCGAAGGTAGAAGAGAGAGAAGGAGAACCTTTCGCAGTTTCTTGTGCAGTACCTAGCAGGATCAGGCAGTAATTCAACAGGAAGGGTTGCCACTCCCCACTCTGGGAAAGCTTCATCGGCGAATTCCTGCCTGGCAGCGCATGAGCACTGCAGGAAAATGAAAGAAAGGGCCTGCTTATGACAAGGCGCAATTAACTTACGGACTTCTCTGCCACAGAGTGTGCTGGAGGGTTTTGAAAAGGGATTCAATGCATCCAGTAGCAGGAGGAGAGGGGTGTGCAACAGAGAGGGGTTGCTGCCTCTGTACTGTGTTCATTAGTTTTCCAGGAGCATCTGGAAGCTGCTGCAGGAAGCAGTCTATATGGGCCCATCTACCCAGCAGGGCTGGTCCTTTCTTCTTCCACACCAAGCCTGCCCATCTTTATCCTTCACCCCCACTCACCACCCGGATTCCGGGGTAACTTGCCTGCACCTCATTGGGTAGAGATGCTGCCAGTGGCATGTCTGCAGCCTTTACTGCCTTGCAGCTGGGCCCGCCTGCAGGGCTGTGACAGGTACCAGGTGGGTTCCCAGTGCTTTGTTCCTTGCCGCCCGGCAACCATTCAGAGCCGTCGGAGATGCTTTATTGCGGCTGAGCACAGGAAGATGTGCCAATACCTGGACAGGAATCGGGGAAAGATGACTGCCTTTGCCATGCAGCAGCTGTTTTGCCAGAGGCCAGGGAGGTTATGGGGCCCATCAGATAGCATCAGGGGCTGTGGGAGGTGGGCACGAAACACATGCCCCACTGCCAGGCTCCCACAGCCAGCAGCTCGCTTCCAAAAAAGAGAAGTGCTGATAATGCCAGACTGGAGGTTGGAAGAGGGTCAAAAGGAATCACTTCTTGGCACAGCACGTGGGTGGCGCTGTGGTCTAAACCACAGAGCCTAGGACTTGCTGATCAGAAGGTTGGCGGTTCGAATCCCCGCGACGGGGTGAGCTCCCGTTGCTCGGTCCCTGCTCCTGCCAACCTAGCAGTTCAAAAGCACATAAAAGTGCAAGTAGATAAATAGGTACCACTCCAGCGGGAAGGTAAACGGCGTTTCCGTGCGCTGCTCTGGTTCACCGGAAGCGGCTTAGTCATGCTGGCCACATGACCTGGAAGCTGTACACCGGCTCCCTCGGCCAGTAAAGTGAGATGAGTGCCGCAACCCCAGAGTCGGCCACGACTAGACCTAATGGTCAGGTTACCTTTATACCCTCCAACATTTCTCTGATGAAAATAGAGAAGTCCTCTTCTATTATTGGGACTCGGGTGGCGCTGTGGTCTAAACCACAGAGCCTAGGGCTTGGCAATTGGAAGGTCAGCGGTTCGAATCCCCGCCATGGGTGAGCTCCCGTTGCTTGGTGCCTGCTCCTGCCCACCTAGCAGTTCAAAAGCACGTAAAAGTGCAAGGAGATGAATAGGTACCGCTCTGGTGGGAAGGTAAATGGCGTTTCCGTGAGCTGCTCTGGTTCGCCAGAAGCGGCTTAGTCATGCTGGCCACGATCCGGAAGCTGTCTGCGGACAAACGCTGGCTCCCTCGGCCTATAGAGCGAGATGAGAGCGCAACCCCAGAGTCGTCCACAACTGGACCTAGCGGTCAGGGGTACCTTTACCTTTATTCTATTATTATTATTATTATTATTATTACTATTAATACCCCACCCATCAGACTTGGTTGCCACAGCCACTCTGGGCAGCCTCCAACATATATAAAAACATAATAAAACATTAAAAACTTCCCTATACATTGGTACCTCAGGTTACAGATGCTTCAGGTTACAGACTCCGCTAACCCAGAAATAGTACCTCGGGTTAAGAACTTCACTTCAGGATGAGAACAGAAATCGTGTGGTGGCGGCGCGGTGACAGCGGGAGGCCCCATTAGCTAAAGTGGTACCTCAGGTTAAGAACGGACCTCCAGAACGAATTAAGCTCTTAACCTGAGGTACCACTGTACAGGGCTGCCTTCAGATGTCTTTTAAACATTGCAATATTCCTGGCTGCAATATTCCTATAGCCTTACACACCCCAGCTGCAATTTTCTTATAACCCTATGATTTTTATGATTAATAGAAGCATTTTCCTCTTCTGTGGGAGCAAACTGAAAAGACAACATATACCGTATTTTTCGCTCTATAAGACGCACCAGACCACAAGACGCACCTAGTTTTTGGAGGAGGAAAACAAGAAAAAAAATATTCTGAATCTCAGAAGCCAGAACAGCAAGAGGGATCACTGTACAGTGAAAGCAGCAATCCCTCTTGCTGTTCTGGCTTCTGGGATAGCTGCGCAGCCTGCATTCGCTCCATAAGACGCACACACATTTCCCTTTACTTTTTAGGAGGGAAAAAGTGAGTCTTATAGAGCAAAAAATACGGTACATTTCTCACACTGTCTCACACCAGGAAGCCTTCCTCCCCAGTCTTGGATGAATCTGGGTGGGCTGTGATGAGGGGGCACTCTGCACATTCTCAGAAGCAGTACCCTTCTTAAACTAACCACCTTTTCCTTAATGGCACAATGAACAATGTGAATCTGCAGTTACAGAACAGGGCAGGAGAGGGTGGAGCTCTGATGACCAGGCAATGGCTTTTCCCACCTGCCTTGCCCCACCCTCCAAACCTTGAAGCCCTCAGAGCTTTCAGAAGGAAGTTGCTTCCACGGCCATTATGTGAATTATTATTAGTATTATTATTTTAAATGAACTGAGTAGAAGACTATGAGTCATGGGGTTGGGGAGAGAGTGTGTGAATTCAGCAGTGCTTTGTTTGGTTTTGCTTGTTAGTGTTGTTAAGACTATTTTGTGGATTATGAGTGCTGTAAGGCTTTCTGAATTTTATAATATGATGTTTCGTGTGGTTGTGCTGTTTAATCTATTTTTAAGTTGTTTTGTTAATAGCGCTTTATAGAAGGTGGTTGTTTTAACGATGATTTTTTAATTGTTTTATATAATTTCTGTCGCAACTGTGATGTTCTGCAATAGTATCATTTTATTGCGTGTAAGCCGCTTTGAGTGAAAAGCAACATATAAATACAGTGGTACCTCAGGTTAAGTACTTAATTCGTTCCGGAGGTCCATTCTTAACCTGAAACTGTTCTTAACCTGAAGCACCACTTTAGCTAATGGGGTCTCCTGCTGCTGCTGCACCGCCGGAGCACGATTTCTGTTCTCATCCTGAAGCAAAGTTCTTAACCTGAGGTACTATTTCTGGGTTAGCGGAGTCTGTAACCTGAAGCGTATGTAACCTGAAGTGTATGTAACCCGAGGTACCACTGTACAAGATGTTGTGACTGAGCTACTAATGGGCAACCGGCTTCATATTACCTACATTACAGCAGCATTCTTTGCCACAGCAGCCCAGAAATGGTGTGCTCATTTAAAAGCAACAAGGGCAAACAAATTCTGCTATTGATTGAGCTGAATAAGATTCATGCACACAGCAATTATGACCTGATAACGGGAGTTTAATTATGAGGCTTTAACTTTGGTTTTAATCACGGTCGATTTTATGAATATCGTTAACGTGCACTGTAATGCTTGATAGCTTATTTATGTAGCGTACGTACGAAGAGGATGCTAAGGCCTTTGGCTACGTGCAATAAAGCCACGTCCTTGCTCTTGTAGTAATGATTCAAGAAATAAGCCACAGGGAGGTCAGATAGGAGGAGCTTCTGGGTTGCCCAGAACCTGGGTCGGTCCTTGACATGTTGAAGAACAGGCTCCTACAGCACACCTGAGGGCAGGAGCCCAGTTTAGGGTTCACATGGCACACAACACGCCTTAGCATTTGCCGCCTAAGGTGCCTGCTTCCTTCTGCCTAATAGCGGGGCCAGCTCTCTCTAGAACAGGCACCCCCAAACTTGGCCCTCCAAATGTTATGGGACTACAATTCCCATCATCCCTGACCACTGGTCCTGTTAGCTAGGGATGATGGGAGTTGTAGTCCCAAAACATCTGGAGGGCTGAGTTTGGAGATGCCTGCTCTAGAACAGGGGTAGGCAAACTAAGGCCCAGGGGCCGGATCTGGCCCAATCACCTTCTAAATCTGGCCCACGGACGGTCTGGGAATCAGCGTGTTTTTACATGAGTAGAATGTGTCCTTTTCTCTAAAATGCATCTCTGGGTTATTTGTGGGGCCTACCTGGTATTTTTACATGAGCATAATGTGTGCTTTTAGGGGACGCGGGTGGTGCTGTGGGTTAAACCACAGAGCCTAGGACTTGCTGATCAGAAGGTCGGTGGTTCGAATCCCTGTGACGGGGTGAGCTCCCGTTGCTCGGTCCCTGCTCCTGCCATCCTAGCAGTTCGAAAGCACGTCACAGTACAAGTAGATCAATAGGTACCGCTCCGGCGGGAAGGTAAACGGCGTTTCCGTGCACTGCTCTGGTTTGCCAGAAGCGGCTTAGTCATGCCGGCCACATGACCCGGAAGCTGTACGCCGGCTCCCTCGGCCAATAAAGCGAGATGAGCGCCGCAACCCCAGAGTCGGCCATGACTGGACCTAATGGTCAGGGTTCCCTTTACCCTTTACCTTTTTAAGGTGTGCTTTTATTTAAAATGCATCTCTGAGTAATTTGTGGGGCATAGGAATTCGTACATTTCCCCCCCAAAATATAGTCCGGCCCCCCACAAGGTCTGAGGGACAGTGGACCGGCCCCCTGCTGAAAAAGTTTGCTGACCCCTGCTCTAGAACAACAAGCTGCTTGAGCTTCTTCAGTCCATCATTCCCCAAGAGTGGCAAGGCTGTTCCAAAGCTGAGACTCTCAATGACTAAGAAACCACACAGGAAGCTGCCTTATACTGAGTCAAACCATTGGCCCATCTAGGCTCAGTAATGTCTCCTCTGGCTGGCAGCAGTCCTGCAGGCATGGGGGTAGCCGGGGGGGGCAGGTGCCCGCCCCCCATCAAGTAAAACAATAGAAATACTTAACTGACCAATCACGTTACTTCTGCCTCCCCCTAAAAAAAGTTCTGCCCCCCTCAACAAAAATCCTGGTTAGGCCCATGTCTGCAGGGTTTGAGGCAGAGTATTGTTAGATACTAAGCAGAGACATTACCTTGCCAACAAAGGTCCGTATAGTTAAAGCTATGGTTTTCCCAGTAGTGATGTATGGAAGTGAGAGCTGGACCATAAAGAAGGCTGATCACCGAAGAATTGATGCTTTTGAATTATGGTGCTGGAGGAGACTCTTGAGAGTCCCATGGACTGCAAGAAGATCAAACCTCTCCATTCTTAAGGAAATCAGCCCTGAGTGCTCACTGGAAGGACAGAGCCTGAAGCTGAGGCTCCAATACTTTGGCCACCTCATGAGCAGAGAAGACTCCCTGGAATAGACCCTGATGTTGGGAAAGATGGAGGGCACAAGGAGAAGGGGACGACAGAGGACGAGATGGTTGGTCAGTGTTCTTGAAGCTACCAGCATGAGTTTGACCACTGCAGGAGGCAGTGGAAGACAGGAGTGCCTGGCATGTTCTGGTCCATGGGGTCACGAAGAGTCAGACACGACTAAACGACTAAACAACAACATTGTTAGAAGAAACAAACTGCTGCTTTTCCCTTATGGGGAAAAGAACACATATAGAGTCCTTAAGTGGGTTCCCTATCAGTAGGAGAAAACAACAGAGGCCAACCAGAGAATAGTGAGAAGCAAAGCAGCTAGTAAGCCTGATCTTTATTAAACTGTTGCAACAGGGTCCCCACTCACCACATGCAGGAGCGAGGAGGAACCCAGAACAATGGTGCGCAAGCCCTTTATATAGACTCTTGAAATTGCCCACCCTGTAGCTCAAGACCACTCCCTAAAGCATCCTACATACATCACAAAAGGAGGCGGGTCTACAGCAGAAATACACCACAGGAGGCTGTTTACAGCAGAAATCCTGTCTGCCAGGATACCTGACAATGGTCACTGATTGCTTTACATGGCAGCCTGGCCATTTTTTTGTGATGGTAAATACTTTAATTGCTGAATCCAGGTCACAGGCTCACCCTATTCATACACAAATACATCCTTAAGACAGGTAAGCAAAATACAGTGGTACCTTGGGTTACATATGCTTCAGGTTACATACGCTTCAGGTTACAGACTCCGCTAACCCAGAAATAGTACCTCGGGTTAAGAACTTTGCTTCAGGATGAGAACAGAAATCGTGCTCCAGCGGCGCAGCAGCAGCTGGAGGCCCTATTAGCTAAAGTGGTGCTTCAGGTTAAGAACAGTTTCAGGTTAGGAACGGACCTCCGGAATGAATTAAGTTCTTAACCCGAGGTACCACTGTACAATGGAGAGGCTTTCCCATTTCCTTCCTCCGCGCAGAGAATTATTTGAGGTTAATTTGGGAGAGTCAAAATGGTTTGGAAGAGTCAAAATGACTTCAGGATTGCTCTCCTTTACTATTTCAGACACGTTGTTTATATACTTATGTACGTGTTTGCCTTGTACATTTATGAATGTTTATTTTTTGGGGGGGAACCTTAGAATTCTTATAACAGTCTCTTCCCAGCTCTACCTGGAAGCACTTCTTTGCATAGCACGTGGGTGGCGCTGTGGTCTAAACCACAGAGCCTAGGACTTGCCGATCAGAAGGTTGGCGGTTCGAATCCCTGCGACGTGGCTGAGCCCCCGTTGCTCGGTCCCTGCTCCTGCTCACCTAGCAGTTCGAAAGCACGTCAAAGTGCAAGTAGATAAATAGGTACTGCTCCGGCGAGAAGGTAAATGGTGTTTCTGTGCACTGCTCTGGTTCGCCAGAAGTGGCTTAATAATGCTGGCCACATGACCCGGAAGCTGTATGCCAGCTCCCTCGGCCAATAAAGCAAGATGAGCGCCGCAACCCCAGAGTCAGTCACAACTGGACCTAATGGTCAGGGGTCCCTTAACCTTTACCTTTACTGCAGCTATCCTTTTCCACTGAGCATAAACACACCTGATGGCATAGTGAGGACTGCTTAATCCATAAACTTACGTGAAATGCCTTCCTCAGCTAGAGTCTAGCGTGCCAGGAACAGAGCAGGTATTTGCTAGGTGTTCCTGAGCCTCAAGAAGACTGAGCTGCTGGCCACTGAGCTGACGTTCGCCTGAGCAGCCGGCCAGCCACAGCAGCAACTGCTCTGCAGAATTCTTAGGTCAGTTACAGGCCAGTTAGAATCCTGACAACAACACAAATCATAACTCCAAGGTACTGGTCATTTGGAACATCAGGAAAGTTGAAAATGGGAGGGAACTCAGTTCCCTTCTTTCCCAATGCAGAGTGTCTATTCCAGGACACTGTGCAGTTAAAACGTGTTCTTCCTGAAGTCAGATTCAGAGCAGTTCCAGCAGTAAAAATGGTGATACAGTATGTGTATCTCAGTACAGATTTGTTTGATGGGCCTGAATGCATTTCATAAAGGATCTCCATGTACAAGAAAGGCTAATAGCATGAGGCCCTGAACAATAAGAATCTCCTTGGCAAAATTATTGAAGACTCCTTACAAACCTATCTTCTTCTTCTTCTTCCCCATCCCATCTTGTTTGGACATTATAGTAAGGGAGAAGATCTTAGCTGTTTTCCTTTGCACTGGGACCACATGGAATTTGTGCCATGGGACCCCATCACTCACACCAATCCAGGCAATACCATTTTCAGAACCTAGGTGTCCATGATTTAAAATCGCTTTCCTAAGACACTTCAGTCAAAATATTTGTGTTGCTTTCTTTCTGTTCCTTTCTGTGTTGATGCTCCGAATGTGAGCTGCTCAGCTGCATGCAGTTTCCACTGAAGAGTGTGTGTGTGTGTGTGTGTGTGTGTGTGATTAACATTCGGCCAAGCAATGGGCCTAAATCCATCTATTTCACCTGAAATAACTTTGGGAGCCAGCCTTTTAAAATCTAGATATCAAATTCAGAGGAATTAAAAGCTGTCATCTTTTTTGACTATTTTAAACATCTTAGAACATACACAAATGTTAATGTTTGAAGGAAGGCAGCAAATGGAGCATTGGAGCCATCCATTCATCCCAGGAATTGTGACCATTGATAAGATGAAGCACTTTCACATTGCACGGCAGTGTGCAGTGCTTTTAAAAAGGTAAAGGACCCCTGACAGTTAAGTCCATTCACGAACAACTCTGGGGTTGCGCCACTCATCTGGCTTTACTGGCCGAGGGAGCCGACGTTGGTCCACAGACAGTTTTTCCGGGTCATGTGGCCAGCATGACTAAGCCGCTTCTGGCAAAACCAGAGCAGCACACAGAAACGCCATTTACTGTCTGGCCGGAGCGGTACCCCCGCTTTCTATTATCTGCTTCCCATCCCATTTCCTAGGATGTTTTTTTTCTTTTCCAGCCTTAGCTGCAACTTATCTTCCCTCTTTTATATCGGAACTCTAATGCTCTAATAGAATTAAAAGAGGGGGAAACTCAGCCAGATGGGCGGGGTCTAACTAAATTATTATTATTTATTTTATTTATTTATTTGTGTTTTTATCTTGTATAAAAAAACATAAAAAACCCAAAGTTGAAGAAAGAAGGCATCTTCAAATATTAAATAAATGCAAGCAGTGAATTGCCAGGACTTGGAAGCCCCTGGTGATGAATTCACTCTTTCCACCCACCAACCCCCCTTTCAAAAATGTGCATGGAATGAATGAGCTGGCATTCAAATCTATTCTTTTAAAAGCATCTTTTCTATTATTATTGGGTCCATTCTGACAAATTGTTGTGCAACAATAAAGGATCTAAGTCTACTGACTGCTGTTTTGCTCCAGATTGCTTGGCTGGAATTTCCGTCTTTGCTTAGCAATTCCTGGACATGTTTCTGCTGTTTGCCCTAAATCAGTTTCTGCCCTGGGCTAGGAGAGTCTTTGGGGGCACCTGCCCCCCATTTGTTCAACAGAGCTTTAACTCAGTGGGTAGAGCATGAGACTCTTAATTTCAGGGTTGTGGATTCAAAACCCACATTGGGGAAAAGATTCCTGCATTGCAAGGGGTTTGACTAGATGGTTCTGGGGGTCCCTTCCAGCTCTGCAGTTCTATGGTGCTTTATTCATTTCATCGGTTCCATAGCAGTCATAGCCCGTTTCAAGATTTGGATGCACAGTTTCCACTCTTGATTTATCCGCATCATATGAGATGGTATATTTGCATGCATGGAACTGATCACAATCATTCACAGGCACACTGTAGGTGGAATTAAGCGCTGATGTTGTAAATTTTCCTCTGATTTAAAAGAAAAGGGGAGGGGGACCAAGAAGGGAAAATGTTAACACAATACTGGCTGAACGGATCAGTGTTGCTTTACAAGGAACCATTTCAGTTCATTTGTTTGTTTTAGGTGGTCATAGATGGCGCCATGGTCTAAACCACTGAGCAACTTGGGCTTACCAATCAGAAGGTCAGCGGTTCGAATCCCCGTAAAGGTAAACGGCGTTTCCATGCGCTCTGGCTTCCATCACGGTGTTCCGTTGCGCCAGAAGCAGTTTAGTCCTGCTGGCCACATGACCCGGAAAGCTGTCTGTGGACAAACGCCTGCTCCCTCAGCCTGAAAGCGAGATGAGCGCCACAACCCCAGAGTCGCCTTTGACTGGACTTAACCATCCAGGGGTCCTTTACCTTTTTTACCTTAAGTAGATAACCTGTAACAGACAACTCCCAAGCTCAGCACTGTTTTGCAATCAGTTAGCATTATGCATTTTTACATGTAGGGTGCTGTAACAAAATGTTGCAGCGTGGAATAATCCTGTTTAGAATTCCATTCTGTTTCCCCGCCTCCCTGCTAGCATTCAGTCAGTTTTCTACACTGTTTTGAATGAGGTAGAGCTGATACACTGATGTCCAATCCCAGCTGCATCAAAACCTTGGAAACTTCTCTGGCCAGTTCTCACTTCCACCCCTGGTGACATTTAAAAATAGCTTCTCAGTGTGAGCTTGGAAACGACCTATCCAGACAATGAGCTGGTTCTCTCTATCCTTTTTACGGTATATCTGTCCTCCTTTTCCGACTCATTTCATTCTCCCTCCCACCTGGTTTTCAGTTTTTCTCTCCTCAACAGTCATCTGTTACTCCAAGTTTGCTAAGAGCTCCCTCTCCCACTCTTGAGAGATCAGTATTCATATACACATTTCTTGAGATATTATAATCCTTCCCCTAAAATTGTCTCTTGAAATCTTAACAAATTCAGCGTTGTCACCCACAAGACCCTAAGTTAGAAAGAACAATTCAAGTCATGGTAATAATTAGTTAAGCTATGATACCTAATGCTGAGAAATAATGATTAACAACATTAAAATAGCAGTAGCAAAGAAGTCATTTAATATAACAACCATAAAATCATCTGAAAGCGGACAAGAATGAAAAAAGTCTTTAGGGTCCCTGAGGTGAGATATGCACTCTTCAGATAGGATTAGTTAGCAAATCACCTGAAGGTGGTAAAAAGCACTTCTGGCCACTTATAATATATAGACCATGAATAAATGATTTGTTGACTCCCACAAGTCAGACAAAAACAGCAGAGAGGCTGGCAAATTCCAGACTTCAAACATAAGTGCTTTCGTTGTACAATAGTTAACATAGTGAGTAGGCGCAGTACCAGCAAAGAGCAAGCTCTTGTACAAGTTAAATATTTTTGTTAGAAGATCAGCAATTTGACATTTGAGTTCGAGAATTCTTGGATGGATGCCATCCAGACCTGGTGATTTGTCAGTTCTTATTTTGTCTATTTAGGATGCGGGTGGCCCTTTGGGTTAAACCACAGAGCTAGGACTTGCTGATCAGAAGGTCGGTAGTTCGAATCCCTGCGACGGGGTGAGCTCCCGTTATTCGGTCCCTGCTCCTGCCAACCTAGCAGTTCGAAAGCACGTCAAAGTGCAAGTAGATAAATAGGTACCTCTCCGGCGGGAAGGAAAACGGCGTTTCTATGTGCTGCTCTGGTTCACCAGAAGCGTCTTAGTCCTGCTGGCCACATGACCCATGAAATATACCGTATTTTTCGCTCTATAAGACGCACCAGACCACAAGACGCACCTAGTTTTTGGAAGAGGAAAACAAGAAAAAGAATATTCTGAATCTCAGAAGCCAGAACAGCAAGAGGGATCGCTGTGCAGCGAAAGCAGCAATCCCACTTGCTGTTCTGGCTTCTGGAATAGCTGCGCAGCCTGCATTCACTCCATAAGACGCACACACATTTCCCCTTACTTTTTAGGAGGGAAAAAGTGAGTCTTATAGAGCAAAAAATACGGTACTCAGAGTCCCAAAGTGATTTCATGCTCTTTATTCAGCTCATAGTGGTGAGGAGGAATGAATGAAAGTCCCCTCAAAGTATCTGCTTTATATACATTATTTACACAATGGGCTGCACATGATTGGCTAATTCCAGAATTCTACTGTAAGCCAATCAGGTTGTGGATTCACTTCTATCTGGAGCATGATTGGGTGGTTCCTGCCAACCAATCATACTGCTGCATTGTTCTAGGACCAATCAGACTGCTGCATTCTGAATCCTATTGTTCTAGGACCAATCAGACTGCTGCCTTTTGGATCCTATTCAACTCAGTACATAACAACCCGGAAGCTGTACACCGGCTCCCTTGGCCAATAAAGCGAGATGAGCGCTGCAACCCCAGAGTCGATCACAACTGGACCTAATGGTCAGGGGTCCCTTTACCTTTACCTATTTTGTCTATTAAGCCTAGAACTTCCTCTCTCATCACCATTATCTACCACAATTCTCTAGACTTCCTTCCTGTAAAAGTTAGTTCTGGAATCTACTTTATATCTGGGTACTACCTTGTGAAGACAGATGCAAAGAATTAAATCAGCTTCTCTGCAATCTCCTTTGGCAAACCTTTGACTCTTATCTACGGGACCTCCTCCTTAGATGTTCTCCTGCTACTAAGATATTTAAAGAACTTCTTGTGGTTGGTCTTAATGATTTTAGCAACGTGCTCCTCAGATTATTTTTTAGCATCCCTTACTGTATGCTTGTACCTTTTTAAAACAAAAAACAAAGTTTGTGTTCCTTTTTGTTCTCTTCCTTTGGACAGGCCTTCTTGCTTCTAATAGCTTCTTCAACTCAACTCATTAACCATACTGGTGTCTTATTGGCCTTCATGGTATCTTTCCTGATCTGTGGTTTATACTCGGTTATGTTTTTAAACCACTCCTGAACATTTTGGAGCGATTTCCCTTTCACCTTCCTTTTTACCAATCCCCTCATTTGAGGGAAATTTCCTCTTTTGAAGTCAAATGTTACCATATTGGATTTTCTTGGCAATTGGCCGTTTACATGTAAAGTAAGCCAAGCCTGCCACTTATACTCGCTTTACATTACACAGCAGGTTATCTTCGCTTACCAGGCTTTCGGAAGGGAACAGGAGGGCTCTCACAGCATCCCTCCCAGACCCCGGTAAGCAGTTTGTGAGTAGGGGATTCTTGACCTTGTGCAATTTTGCCTTAGATTCTTGGCACTACTCTAGATTGGTTCTGGTTCCTCTAGTCCAGGCATGGCCAAACTTGGCCCTCCAGCTGTTTTGGGACTACAACTCCCATCATCCCTAGCTAACAGGACCAGTGGTCAGGGATTATGGGAACTGTAGTCCCAAAACAGCTGGAGGGCCAAGTTTGGCCATGCCTGCTCTAGTAGGTTCCATGGCCAACTGTGCAATCATTAGGGTATCTAGAAATCTTTGTCATGGCTGGAATACCCATGTAACCAGTCCGTGTGAGGGCAGTTGAACATAGCTGTCAAGCGACCCTTATTTGGCGGGACAGTCCCTTATCCCAGCGCCATGTCCCGCTGCTGTCCCTTATTGATGATATCCCTTAAATAAGCTACTGAAGGTAATGGGGCCCTTTCTATGTCCAGCTGTCCTTTGTCAATAACAAATTGTTGCTGTTTTTTGTTGTTGAATATGTGCTATATGGTAATTTATGGACCTAATAGGTATCTAAAGCCATTTGCACGCAACAAAATATGTATTTTATCAAAGTAATTGTTGATCCCTTATTTTGGCTACTGATCCCTTATTTTCGAGGCAGCTGGTCCCTTATTTTCAAATCTGTAAGTTGACAGCTATGCAGTTGAAGTCACCCATTCATTCCTACAAAATTGCCTCTGCTCTGTTCATTCTTGATTATAGTCTTCTCGAGATCTCCCTGAGCATTTTGATCAGGGAGGTTGATACAGTGGTGCCTCGCAAGACGAAATTAATCCGTTCCGCAAGAGTCTTCGTCTAGCGGTTTTTTCGTCTTGCGAAGCAAGCCCATTGACGGATTAGCGCTATTAGCGCTATCAGCTGTTTAGCGGCTATTAAAGGCTTAAAGGCTTAGGGGATTAGCTGCTAAAAGGCTATTAAAGGCTATTAAAGGCTTAGCAGATTAGATAAAGGGGGGGGAAAGCGAAAAAAAAATCTCTAGACTCGCAAGGTATTTTCGTCTTGCGAAGCAAGCCCATAGGGGAATTCGTCCTGCGAAGCAACTTCAAAACGGAAAACCCTTTCGTCTAGCGGTTTTTCCGTCTTGCGAGGCATTCGTCTTGCGGGGCACCACTGTACCATGTTCCCAGTGCTAAATTACTTGTGGGGCCTGCTATCATCACCCACAACGATTCCCTTCTGGGATTTCTAACTTGATGGACTTCAAACTCTGAGGCGAAATAGTTGGGCAATATTTTTTGCCTGCAGTTCTAACTCTCAAGGAGCAGGGGGCGGTGCCTTGCTGGAGACTGAAATGGATAATTTGAGCTCATCCCTCAGTATGCTGCCGGCTTCCTTCAAGCAAGGAAGACTCGAGTAAGTAGTGAACAGAGAAAGGACGGAAGGGCGCTAGCTTAAATGCTTTGAAAAAAGGCTTAGTCAAATTCATAGAAGTTAACTCTTTCTAACAGCCATTATTAGTCAAGACAGCTAAAGCTGGAGCATCCACACCTAGGTGCAGTCTACCCTATATTGCAATATGCTACAGAGCCAGC